TAGAATTAATGTAATTTATACTTGCCTTTTAATTTATACAAACCATTTTGAGAACTAGTTACAGAATTTCAAGCTCTCCTCCAAATCTGTTTCTATTAACCACTTCATCAAGTGAAACTATTAACACTTATATTCTCAAGTGAGTGGATAAAAAAGCAATGGTACATTGACACAATGGAATACTACACAGAAAGAAAGAAGAAGCTTATTCCCTTTATGACAGCATGGACGGAGCTGGAGAGCATTATGCTGAGTGAAATAAGCCAGGTGGTGAAAGACAAATACCATATGATCTCACTTATAAGTGGAACCTAATCAACAAAACTAATAAGCAAGCAAAATAGAACCAGAGACTTGGAAATAAAGAACAAACTGACAGTAACCAGAGGGGAGGGAGAGAGAGAGATAATGAAGGAAAATAGGGGACTGTCCATCAAGGAATATGTATAAAAGACATGAGGACAAAGCCAAAGGCAGTGGGGTCAAGGGTGGGAGGCTGGGATGGGTTGGGCAAGGGGCTGAGGTGGGGTGAAAATGGAGACAACTTTACTTGAACAACAATTAAAAAAATAAATAAATAATAAAACAAACTTCAACAAAATAATTCCATTATTAATTCTATATTTCTAACTTACCGTGCCTCAGAGTTGTCAAAGGTTGTCTCCAAAATATTCTCCAAAATATGATCTTTGGCTTCAATAAAGATGATCTACTATATAGCAAGAAAAAAGAACATTTGATGTATATGAGATATGGTCTATCCAGAAAGTACCCAACCATATGATATGAAAAATAGACACATTTATTGAAGAAGATAAAAGATAAAAGAAACACTGTACACAGGACAATGACACCTCAGTCCCCTTCAAATTAGGCACCTTGGGACCTCACACAGTTCTCCCAATTGCCATCAGCTGCCCTGTTGTGCCCTGTTGTATTTTCCTGAATCTCATCAACTGTCTGAAATCTCTTCCCTTCAAAGGTGGTTTTAGTTTGGGGAAAAGCCTAAAGTCACAGGGCATCAAATCTGGGCTGTAGGGAGTTGAGTCACCTGGGTAATCTGATGTTTTGCCAAAAATCTCTGCACGAGACATGATGCATGAGCAGAAGCGTTGTCATAATGAAGCTGCCAATCACCAGTTGCCCATAGCTGTGGCCTTCTGAATCATCCAAATAGTTTCCGTGGAGGAGTGTTTAAGCTTAACACAAAATCTGATGCAGATTTGTTGCTCTACTCGCTCAGTCTTTTTGAATGCAACGGCCACAGAGTACACATGCTCACTCAACAGTGTCTAGCGCCCCCACTGACCAATACAGTGAAGTTGTCATAGTTCACACAGGTGCACACTCCAGTCCACTTTCCTTGGCTGCCAGGTTATATCGATGATTCACAAACCATTATATTAACAGTGGTTGAACTTTTTATGCTAGAAGCTTGCTGCTTTCACTTGGAATTGCATTTCTGATTTTAGCTATTCTTGTCTACATTGACTATCACTCATTTTGGTTGTTTTAAAAATATTTTTCCAGATTTTTATTGATATAAAATATTTTAATTTCTTTAAAGTTTCCCAGTGTCCTTTGGCCCTGTCTCCTGCCCATAGCCTCTCCTGTTTACTTTAATTTCCATTTCCCTGATGGCTAATGATGGTATCTTTTCATGGACATTTAGTGAAGCATCTATTTACCTTTTACCACATTTTTGTCTTATGATCGTAAGTTTTCTATATATTCTTATATATGTCCTTTATCTGGTTTACTATGTATTACAACGATTTCCTCCTAGTTAGCAACTTGCCATTTTTTCTTAATGGTACCTTTGAAGAGAAGACATTTATAAACTTGAAAAACTTTAATTTGCCCATTTTTTCTTTGATGGTTAGTTGTTGGGAACTGCCCTGCCTGGTCCCAGAAGCTGTAATCCCCCATGGCTAAGGCTGAGTAAAGGACCTTGGAACCATAAGCCACTTAGGAGACAAAGCTTATCTTCCTTGTAGGGGCACCGCCTCTGCCCCCTTTCTCTTCACCCTGCCTGGGCCCAGGCGGATGACTGGTTAGCCAATGATGGGTAAGATTTCTCAAAAGAGGAATGACCTAAGACGGTCCTGGTTGCAAAGGGGTCCTCCGGAAAGGACTTGGGGGGCTATAGAAAAAGGGGGTAATCGACCCTCACCCCTCAGCTTTCCCACAGCCTGAGTCCTCTTCTGTCTGCAAGAAGTCTCCTAATCTCTTGGCTGCTTTACTTCCCCTGCCTGACTTAAGCCTGAAACAATGCTGGTGGTGGGTGTGACCCTGTGTTGGAAAGGGTGGCACTGGGGCACCTCCCTAGGGTGATTGGGCCTAAGAAAGAATGCATAAAATCCTATGAAACCTACATTGCTAATACCCTCAATTTAAATGATAAGGGTCCAAGCAGAAAGTGAGTTTGTTCCCCAAAGTTTTATGGCCCTTTAACTACCTGACCCTGACTCAGAATAAGCCCTCGAAGTTCTTTGAATGCTATTACTTGGTCATTACTGCCTGACAATGATTGATGAGCTTTACATATACACTCTGTATTCCTGTGCTAATTGAACCCAATAAAAGCTTGTCAAGGCAAGGGTCAAGACACTTTCCTCCTGATAGAGTGGCTGAGGCGCTCTCCTCTTGAGAGAGATGCTGAGCCATCCCTTTTTCTCCACAGGACTCGGTAGTCCACATGAATTTGTCTCGTCTCATTCATAACGCTTCAGGCCCCAGGAGCTGGGATCCACATCAGTAATTTTTGCGTGCTAAGAAATTTTTGCCTACTAAACTTTGAGATTTTCTTTCATTTCCTTACAGAAACTTTATAGTTCATTTTTATGTTTATATCTGTAGTCTTTGTTGAGTTAATTTTGTATATACTGTGAAGGATTCAGGTTTTCTTCTTCCATAAGGATATTCAGGTGTTCTTGAACAATTGTTGAAAAGGCTACTTTTCTCCCATCGAATTACATGGCACTTAAGTCAAAAACCAATTGAAACCAACTTGGTGCTCTCTCTGGACTATTCTCCTCCATTGATCTGTATGTCTATTCTTAGGTCAAAACCAGACTACCCTGATTACTGTAGTTTGATGTAAGTCTTGCTATTAGGAAGGATCCCTTTGTTCTACTTTTTCAGAATTATTTTAGCTACTCAAGATTTGCATGACTATGTATAACTTTAAATCAGCCTGTAAATATTTACCCCCCAAATCTGCTGGTATTTTCGTAGGCACTGTTTCAAATCTATAGATCAACAGGGGAGAACAGATATCTTAAAAATACTGTCTTTTGGGTCCATGAACGCATGATGCATATTCCCTTTTGTTTAGGTCTTTAAAAAATGTCTTTCAGTAATGCTTTCATTTTCAGCGTACAGGTTTTTCACATTAAAAAAATGTACCCCTACATATTTTTGCGGTGCTATTGAAGATTACATTTGAACTTTGTTGACAGAACAGTGACATCCAATGAACTTGTTAATACTGACTTACTTCCTGCCACCTTGTTAACACAGTTAGTAGTAGGGCATTGGCCCAGTCCTTGGGAAATGTTTTGTATGTGCACATGTCGCCTGTGACTACAGTTTACTTCATCCTTTCCAATCCTTACTGCGCTAACTAGGACCTCAAGTTCAAGTTTGAACAGAAATAGTGAGAGCATACATCCTCATCTTGGTGCAGATTTTAGGAGAAATATGTTTACTATTTTATCATGTCTTCATTCTTGTTTATTCTATTACAGTTGTCCCAATTTTCCCCACTTTGCCCTCCTCCACCCGGCCGACCCCCAGCTCCCACATGTTATCAGTGAGTTGAGGAGCTTCCCTTGTATTCATCTGCTGAAAGCTTTTATTATGAACTTTGTAAATGCTTTTACTGTATCTATCGAAATGATCCTGTTTTTTTCTCATTAGTTCTGCTACTATGGTAAATAACACTAATTAAGTTTCAAATATTATACCAACCTTGCCTTCCTGGGAAAACCCCCTTTTTGTCATCATGTAAGGTTGGCATAATATTTGAACATCAACTATATATGATTTTTTATACATTACTGGATTCAAATTGCTAATATTTTGTTGAAGACTTTGGGGGCTTTTGAAAGGCTAATTGGTTTGGTGCTTTCTTTCCCGGAAATAGCTTTGTCTGATTTTGGTATAAGAGTAATGCTGGCCTCATAAATAGGGTTCTCTTCTGTTTTCTAAAATGTTGGTGTGTAAGACCAGCATCATTTTATCTTTAAACATTTGGTAGAACCTACCACCGAAGCCATCTGGGCTTGGAATTTTCCGGGTGGAATTCAACTTCTTAAATATGGCAGAAGCAATGCCTGCCTGAATGTGGTTGGTAGGGTAATAATAGGGGTGGAATGATTTATAGTTTTAATTTGAACATTTCACTTAAAATGTCATATGTTGTCCTTGAGTGTGATAGTGTTATGTTACAGAATTACATGCTTATAATTTTGCAATAAAATATTTTATAATAAAAAACAGGGACATTATATTTGGGCCGGCCCCTGTAGCTAAGGAAATATTTAAACTTTGTTTCTTTTCATGTCATTTCTGTTTCTTTTCATTACCTTTGCTTTGGTAATTTGTGTCTTTCAAGAAAGTTTATCTATTTCATCTATGTTGTCAAATTAACTGGTACAGAGTGTCTGAACAAAGACAGACAATTTTTCTTTTTTCTGTGTGATGCCAGGGACAAATCTTCCTGGGTTTGGTGTCAGTGGCAATACTCACAGTGAGGAGTTCAGCCTCTCACCAAGGTTCCTGTTTTACAAAAGCAATCTACTCAAGAATGTGAAATCCACCCGTTCGTCTGACTAAATTATTGCTGCCCAGATACACTTAAAGTTAAAAACTCACTGCTTTCTGCATTAGGGACAATGAAAGCAAGAAACATGGTCGAATCAGGGTGTTGAGAAGTAAGTAGGTTTGAGGATTGACCACCGCGACTGTAGAAATAACACAAAAGCAAACTCCAAAGGTTAAATTCGGGCGATTTATTGTAAACAGGATTACCCTAGCACTCCACCGCACCGGCTGTGTCACACGCTCCCTCTTCCAGATCAACTAGGCCAAAAGAAGACTGTTCTAAATGTCACAGGGAACTAACAACTTCGTTGGCTTCACAAATCCCCTTTCCTCTGCACTGAGGAGGTAGCCATGTCAGGGTGGTCTGTTATTGCTCACAGACTGCAGCTTGGACCCGCCGGAAGGGGCCGTTGTTTGCCTGAGCGACCCACCAGCAGCTCCACCTCCGGCCTGGACACCAGCCGACGACGCTGCGCACAGCCAACAGTCCCAGGTCCCGGGAGGACCACATGCGATTCCTTTCAGATTTCTTCATGTGACTTGCTCAAAAAAATAACTGTTAACTTTTACTCATTTTTTTTTAAAAGAGCTAAAAGTTACCCAATAGCACGTAATTTTCCACAGAAAAGGTGAGTGGATTATTTACTCGTACAGGGCTGATTGGAACACCCACGACTAATTTTAGATCCACCTTGTAAATATTTGCAGTCTGATGAAGAGATGCATAGTCTACAAATGCATAAGAGCAGAAGGAAGCGAGGACTCACGCACCTTCTGAGGGATGGAGATGGCTTCGCACAAGGAAGCTCTCCGAGGCAGGGATAAGGAGACAGTCACAGCACCACATTTAAGTGATAGAAATGGAGCCCCGCTTCTGAAAGCAGCCTCCGCAGCTGGGATTATATCGTTCTTGCCCCAAATTTAGATTATGTGGAAAATGGCAAACGTGAAAACTTAAGATGTGAAAAGACATGACTCTACAGAAAAATCCTAGCAAATCAACTCATACGGACGTCAGAGGTCACCTGAAAACGCCACTCTTTCCCTTGCCTGAGTTGGTGGGCAGCGGGGCCGCTACTGTGACTAGTGCCTGCATGTGGGAGTCTAGTCCCAATTTCTCTTGAAGTTTAATAGCAGTCCATACTTCAAAACAGCTGTTAAATCTAGAGGAACAGTTTCATCTAAAATAGTATCTCGTGGGAAAAAATATTTTTTAAAAGTCTACTCCAGTCATTACGTGTGTGTATGTTTACAATTATAAGTTAAAAAAATAACAATACTTACGGCACTATTAGACTGGCAATAAAAATGGATTTTAGGGTCTTATGGAAATCATGCTATTTGAAAATCCAAAGCTTTTTTAATACCTCCAAAAAAGTGGCTTTTTACTTGTTGCCTTTTGAATTCACCATGGGGCCAACACCGTGGCTCACAGACGCACTGCACCAGGCGTCTGTGGCAGCTGACGCTGGGAAAACACGCCCCATGAGTGGTGGGGACCGAAGGCCACCCGGCCCGTGCTCGCCACACACAGGACATGCTGATGGGGAAGTGAGAACGATGGACACCACTGCAAACCAACTAACAACAGTGAGAATGTGGATAGAAGTCAATCAGAAAAAAACGAATCATAGTAATCCTGAGAAATTCAATTTGGGACAAAACTGATGTAAGGTAAGTGTGTATTTCTAGTACTATAAATAACTAGGGTGTTCTAGGGTTTTCCAGAACTAGTTTGAATAAAAAACATGTTCAAATTTTATAAAAAGGTTAAAACCATGCCTTATAATCAGCAATTTCACTAATAAAAGAAAACTACATTACTTTGCTCTTTATGTGCCAAATCTATGTTCTCCATTGATTTACATGAGACCATCAAGTAGAAAGCAAATGTGAGGATCGGTTTTTAAAAAGACAGGCTTCCTTGCGTGAAGCCTGTCTTTCTAACTGTGTGGAAGCCTTTCCTGTCAACCCAGGAGGCTTTTTAAAAAAGGTAACATTTTCTTCTAACAAGTAACTATTTTACAGAATAGGGAAGGAAGAGTCTATAGGAATATCATTCATCATTTTAAGTATTGTTATATAAGGGAAATTTTTCTTAGTAATGAAAAAAATTTTTTTAATATTTAAGAGGCATGTATTTTAAAAATATTCTACATCTATTAGATTTTGTCATTTAATTACTTTGGATTTTAATATTTCTACATAATAACATCTGACAACATCTCTTTTTCTGTTTGTGTCTCTACTAGTGAACCAGAAACTGTTAAAGTGGCCACGGCTGTTTCCGAGCCCCTGGAAGGGTCAGGAACACGTCCTCCTGCTCGTCGCTGCCCGTGGGGGATCTTCAGAGTTTGGCAGCCATGAAGTTAATATGTGGCTTCACGAGGGGAAACAGTGGCAAACCACGCTTGAACTCGGTCATGTTCTGAATCACTTCAGGCTGCAAAGAAAAGGTTTCCTCTTAGTGTATTTAACCTAAAAACCGGACTGAATGAGACACAGACATTTTTCTTTTCTTTTTGTTTTTCACAGGCACTAGTTTCTACCCCATATATTAGGATCTGCTGCCCTTTCCCCCTGGATCAGCAGGGCCAGAGTTCACTCAGACCTCCAGTAAAGTTCCTGATGGGACTGTGGGCCAGAGGAAGACTCTAAGCTCTCCTCTGGGTGCACGGGCTGCACACTAAGGCTCAGCACCGAGGCTTCTGCAGGGTGCCAGTCGGTGTGCCCACTGGGCAAGGGCCTGGTTACATGGTCAGCTTTCCTCCTCCTTCAATTAAATGCCAACCTTTCCAGGTGAAAATGTGCAGGTATTGTGGAGAGGGCTGAGGATATTAGTGGCTGGCGAGGGCTCAGGCAGAGTAACACACTGTTCAAGCTAGAGACAAAGACACACAAGGTCACAAGTTCAGTCTCTGTGCCACTGAAAAGGTCTGAGTGCTGGGAGCTGTCAGAAAGAATGGGGGCCCGGCCTCTAGGAGACCTTCAGCAGAGGCTGGAAACCTGAAGCCGCCAGGTCCCATGTGTTCCGGTGAACAAATTCCTCCTACATACTAAGTCCTTTAACAGTGCATTAACATGTAACAGTCCTATAACATTTATATTTCTTACGTGTGGCAAGGCTGGTGCTTGTGACAAATTTATATCATTTTGACATGGGAACTCTCCAACCACAGGACCTATAAGAAAATGAGGGGTCAACGCTTTGCATTTATCGACACTAGCACACAAGAGCAACTTAAAAAACAAGACAAAACTGAAACCAGACTCAACTCATTAAAAACTGTACCAGACCTGGTTCATGTACTTCTCATATCCTCTCAGGAGGCCTGTCCCCCACGGCCCTGACCGCTAGTCCTGCCTCCTATCTGGAGTGTCGCCAGTGGTGGTGGTTCATGCTGTTACCATGGTCACTAAAGCCTTCAGCCCCGAGGCCTGACCTCACTGAACCCTGAAGCTCTGGCCACCGCTACAACACACAAGGCCACGAGTGAATGGTTCCGGGGTAGACCTCGGCAGTGAGAGGCAGGAGGACTGAGCAGGCCGACTCCTCGCCCTCCTGCGCAGGCCCAGGGTTCCACACAGCTTCTCTGGGGACGCCCACCAGCAGGAGCTGCGTGTTCCCACAGAGCCGGGCTGCCTGGCACGCGCCCCTGGCGCGACCGTGTCCTTTGCTGCCTCACTGCCCTTCCCCTCAGTTCTACTCTGTTGGAGCCCTGCCTCCAGTCAGCTCCCCTTCTGCCCTTTTTCACTTCCTGGTGCTTTGTAAGGGCGCGGCTACGGTCAGGGACAGCTACCATGTGTCTACAATACACATTGTTTAAAAGGCAATGTTCGATACTTACAAGAATCCATTTCTCTGGCAAGAACATGGACGGATACCTTATGTCTCCTCGGGGCATCTACTGCCAACATCTCCTAGGCAGAAAGAACGGCAAAGTCACCCTTCTGCCCACCAAGCACCGAAAAGCTGCTCTCTTTCAACTACGAGGAACCAGCTCTCACCAGAAGCAGGAAAGATGCTTCCTTTTCTTTCCCAACACTTACAGAATTTCATTTAAACTTTATGAAGATTAAGCAAGAATTATTCTTCACCCCACGTTACAAAGGTGGAAGACGAGTCCGAGGAGACCGAGCGCCGTGCTCAGGGAGCGCAGGGCTGGGATGGCAAACCCGGCCCAGCACTCGCTGGGGTGCGGTGCCGAGACAGTGGCCTGGGCTCCGTCAGGGGACGGCCACGAGGCTGGCTCCCCTAAGATCCTTCTCAGAGTCTGCATCAGGTCACTGCTGTGGTTCCTCATCTACCAAGAGAGGAGGAAGCCAGCATTTACTGGGCTCTGCCTTGTATCAAGTGCTCCCTACGTCAGCTCACTTGGGTCTCTGTAAGCTAAGCACCCAGATGGCTGCTATTGGAGACACAAACTCTAACACACGGAGAGGTGCCATGACTTGCTGGCATCCCACAGCTTGTCAGGGATGGTGTCAGAAGGGAGGCCTGCTGGCTCTCTCCGTTCCGCCACCTGGTTTTGAGGGATTCCCCTTGGCTACTTCCACAAACACTAGGAGTGGTCGGTCGGCAGACAGGTCCTGTGGGGAGTGTCTCTTCACTGTTTCCTTAACACTGGATCTTTATCTGCTTTTTGGGAAGGAAAAACGCAAGTTGCGATAAAGCTTCCCCTGATGCCTCAGCCAGAAGTCATGTTTCGTATACTCAGAGGAGGAGATCATCAGTGAAGCCCAATCGACCCAGCGGTTATCTGTGGGGCAGGTACTACGAGCCTGGTCCTGTGCAGTTTGAACAGCAATCCTGCTGATGCTGCACACACACCCGACTGCGGCTCCCTGCAGCGGGAAGAGCAGCCCAGATTCTCCCGCGGGTGTGCTCGGGCCTCTCCAGGTTCTTCCAGGAGTTCAGACCAGGCCTGCCTCTGGTAACGTGGAGCGCCTCATTTGAGAGCATCTTACTCCAATTATGGGGTAAAAAGTTCCCTCCCAAAGACCTATTCTTGATCACTGTTCACCCAAACCTCCATAGCCTTCTTATCGACCTGTATCAGCAGACAATACCCTCTTCAGCTGTAGGCTGTTCTCATACTTCCTGACCAAATTAGGACAATCCCCATTTTTTAAAAAACCAACCACCAACTGACTGCATTTTCTTGCAAAATGTATTCTAAGGATCATGAGTCTCCGAAGATACTTATAGATAGTCAGTTAAAAAATAAAGGGTCCATGGTGAAATTGGTTCAGGAAATGTCTTGCCAATCAAAACTGAACAAGTGCTGGGCTACAGAAGTCTTTACTGCAGTGCTTCTGGGAACTTCCAAAACGCTAACACGTTCTGTGATTCTCTGAGAATGGGAATAAAGAATGTAGTCATTTCCAAAGTTACATGGTCATGAAGCTTTTTCTAGGTTCCCCTCTTAATATCTTGTAGAACACTAGGGCACCATGGAACATAGCTAGGGAAATGTTGTTTAAGATTTAGCTTAAGCTCCACATTTTTAAGACAAGAAATATTCGGTCTAACTGCTGTTTTCACAGATGCAATACTCAGATACTACTTATGATTTTAAATGAATAATAAAATTAGTGGAAGGAAGACAAATCTTCACTTCTTTTGGAAACATTACGGTACATTATCTTAGGACTTCATTCTTTTGAACACACATAAGAAGTTATGCCTTAACATAAATGTCGTAGAAACCAAAGAGTGCTGAAGATGATCATCTTCTGTAGGCGACTGAGAACAGATCGCAGAGCTTAGCAGTCTAATGTAGCAAACAAACACAACAAAAACTTATAACATCAAGGAAGAGAATGTATTCTGATTTAACCCATTCTGATTAAAACATTACAAAACCCCAGGACTCAGTATTACTAATAAAGAGAATAGAGACTATTTATTAATAGCACTAAGTGCCAACCACAACTCATTTCAACCAATACTCCAATGATTTCCTATTTTGTAAATAAGGAAACTGAGGCTTACGAGTTTAAGTAACTTGGCCGAGGCCACAGAGCTAGCTAGTTGGCGAGGGCGCTGAGCCCCCAGTCTGTGTTCAGAGGCTGCGTACATTCCTGCTGCTGCTCCCACAGGTGAAAGGACCTCTGGAGGAGCTGAGACCAGCGAGTGAGGCTGGCCACTCTCTGCAGGGCCCTCTAGGCAAGTGAAGAGCAGTGGACCTGTGTACTCTGCTGCTACACCTAACTCTCCCCAGCGGTCCTACTGTGTAGCTCTCTCCTCCTCCATTAGGCCTGTCCAACTGTTTCTCATCCCTGGTCCACACATTAAATACATTGTGACATGTAATCACCAAAAAAATCTCCTAATGTTTTAAGCGAATTATGATTTTGTGTTGGGCTGTAGGGTGGAACCCCATTCTACACAGAGATTGCCTGGAGTTATATTTCATATCAAAATTTTGCTTTACATATTTTTATGAACAAAATATATATAAATTTTACATATATATTTTTAAATAATTTTATTTTTAAAAGCAGTTTCAGGTCCACAGCAAAACTGAGTGGAAGGGAGAGATTTCCCATACATCCACTGACCCCCCCACATATATATATAGCCCGCCCCTTATCAAAATATATTACCATTTTAAAGACTGTTACAGCAAAAGAGCAAGAGCAGTTTGGATGGCACTCTTGTCTTCCTTTGCACAATGCAAAGGGAATTTTGAGGTAAACAAAATAACTTGCCCAGCAACTTCCACGGCCAAAAAGCTTAAATCTCATTGCTACAAAAAGCAGCATTCATAATACTGGCTTTTACTGTCAAATTTTGAACCTAAAATTGTATCATCTCCCTTTTCATATTGTTCAGACATTACCGGCCATATTAATACTTGTTTGTACAGACAGACAACAGCAGCTGTGTAGTTCTGCAGGGGGTTGGGGGAGCAAGTGTAAATGACCGGCAGACAGTGCAAGGTCACCGTTTTCCTCCAGGAAACAGCACCTTCGGGTCAGGACACTTCCCTTCCCTCACTCTCCTCACAGCACCAACACTGGTGAGTACGAGGGTGTGGCAAACTCCGATACAGGAGAAAAAAGTGATTAGCCTTCACTGTACAACTAATTTCACAAAGTCGTTCTCACGACAACTGCGTGTACTGACTCTTGTGTTGTTAGTTACAATATATCCCTGAAAAACGACATTGTAAAGTAGATGCTCTCTCTCCCCAAGAGACCTTAGCAAAGGGTGGGGACTGAGTTCCTGACTAAACTATCAGCACCTAATACATCAGATGTGAACCTGGAGAAGTGGCTAGAACCCTAGCTGGGATATATTTGTAAGGTTCTATGGTAAATACAGTCTGTAACTTTGCTCCTTATCCTGCAAAGTAGACATAAAAGTATTTTACTAAGAGGTCCTAATATATTACATAAAACATACGTTAACACTTATAATACAACTCTATTGCAGTAAAAACTTGCAACTTCTGTACTCAGCATGCTTCTCATATATTACATATCCACTTAAAATTTTTGCTACCCTCCTTAGAATTTTGTTATAGGTGGGGAAAATTTAGATGTGCTAACCTCTTAAGGCTGTACTGGGAAAACTTGAATAGTGGCAGTGCCTCTCTTTCCTCTGGATAAACTTTCTCTATGAGCACAGGCATTCAAAACTCCTAAGATCCCTAAACACAGTTCAGAGGTGAGCAACCATTTATGTAAAGAAGCAGCCACCGTGGCACCTAAATGGGTGAAGACAATTCACAGTCGTCAGAGATTAGAGAATAATCTGATTCTCAAGTTCTATTTGTTTTCACTGCTCTTCCTTCCCACCAGACAAATTCCCAATGGTATTGGTGGGCTGGGCTGGGGAACAGAGAGAACAAAACAAAAGGCAGCGTAAACAGTGGATCCAGAAACCAGGAAGGACCATCCCAGCCCTTGGTCCAGAGGGAGAAGAAAACAGTACGGGGTCAATATGAACTGTCTCTTTTTTCAAACAGTAATATGTATAAAAAATACTGACATCGATAAAAATGCCTCCATAAATCCTGCCTGAATGGTTCAAAGAAGCAACTGAACATATCACAGCACATACAGTATTCCCTGATCAGTCACAATCTAAATATATGAATTGAATTTACCTTGTAGAATTTCATGATATCTTCCTTGGTAAGTGTCTTTAAATATGCAACTTCTATATTATCTGAAAAAGTAATCATATAGCAATTTACTAATAATCCCATTTTAAGTAGCCCAGAATACTACACTAAATGACCATATACTTCACTTCAACACTCCTAAGTATTCATATATTTTTAAAGATTTTATTTATTTCTTTTTAGAGAGGGGAATGGAGGGAGAATAAGGAGAGAAGCATCAATGTGTGGGTGCCTCTTATGCGTCTCCTCCTGGGGACCTGGACTACAACTCAGGCACGTGCCTAGACTGTGAATTGAACCAGTAATCCTTTGGCTTGCAAGCCAGCACTCAATCCACTGAACCACACCAGCCAGGGCTAAGGATTCATATTTTTAAGTGAACATCTACTCCTGTAAGTAGTAAGGGAATAAATTTCAAGCAAAAAGTTAAGAGGATATCCGGTCTCTCTACAAATGAGCTGTTGGACCTTGGGCCACTCACTTCTACTTTTTTGAGCCTCAGTTTCCTCATCCAGATTTAGAGTATAATAACTACATCATGGGACTGTAGTGAGAACTAAGAAAAATGATAAATAACAATTACACATAGCTAGGGCACATGTCAAATGCTCAGTAAGTGGTATGTACTATATTAATAGTGAACACAACTGCCAGAAAAATTACAGGAGCCCTGGTTGGTGTAGCTCAGTGGACTGAGTGCCACCCTGCAAACCAAAGGGTCACTTGTTTGATTCCCAGACAGGGAACATGCCTGGGTTTCAGGCAAGGTCCCCAGTAGGGGGAGCATGAGAGGCAACCACATGTTGATGTTTCTCTCCCTCTCTTTCTCCCTCCCTTCCCTTCCCTCTAAAAATAAATAAATAAAATCTAGAAAGAAAGAAAAGAAAGAAAGAAAGAAAGAAAGAAAGAAAGAAAGAAAGAAAGAAAGAAAAAAAGAAAGAAAGAAAGGAGAAGAGAAAAGAAAAGAAAAGAAAAGAAAAGAAAAGAAAAGAAAAGAAAAGAAAAGAAAAGAAAGAAAACTACAGGAAAGAGGCCCAGAAAAGGTGAGTTGGCCAAGATCCTCAGCTTGTTGGTGTCAGAATGAGAACACAATCCAACTCCAACTTCTACTGTCACTTAGCGCTGATCTGGAAGAAAGGTGAAAGGAAGTGGATGAGCAGGAGGCTTCGGGGAGCAGAGCTCCCTGAATCGAAAAGCACTTACAAATTTTTGGAGAGCTCTAAAGGCAAATGTTTGAACCCCTGTTCCTCCAGGGCAGCACTTGCTTCAAGAGAGTTCAACCTGAAAATCTTTCCTTTTTTTTTAGTGTTATGGGAAATAGACAGCTACATTTCTATGCACAGAGCCTTGGGGGCACAGCAACTGAACACAAAAAATTAAAATAAGATTCATTATCAGTGCATTATTATGAGATACATGTAGGTCTAGCTCTAGTTTTGGAGAAGAAAAAAATGAAAGACAGAGTTTCTGAGAGAAAAGTCATGTTAAATAATGCTTCTTCAGAAGTGCTGTGCCCCAGCCCCTCCCAAATCAGCACTAGACCGTCATCTACAAAATGAACGCCATGTTGTAGAATGGCCTCGATGTCCTTAAATGTCACGCTTATATGCCGTGCACGTTGGGGCCCTAATTTTGCCTTACCTCTGTCAAAATTGTATTGCTGGGAGATGATTTCCCCCCAGTATTTAGCACACTCTGCAGACAGTTTCTTTGGTTTGTCTAGTCGACGAATTGCTAGTGCTTGAATGTGTTTTTGGAAGGCCTCTTCTGTCATGTCCTCTATGGACTTTTCCATGGTGATTAAGAAGGCTTCCACTCTGCTTTCCAGGTAGTGAGGAGGCTTTTCCGACTGGATGATGAACCGCAAGCCCTGTATGCCATTGGCGCGACGTGGGCCGCTGAAGACAATGTAGCCTGAAACGTACACAGCAGCCAGTCAGGACCTCGGCATCTGAGACTCCCGTCCCTTTTAATCTTTAGAAAGTTTGTCAGAGCAAATAAAATCTACTTTAGGGCTTTATGTTATGAACCTCTGAAGAAATATGAGCAATTAGGATATCCTCAGGTCCTAAGGACAGAGCAAAGGATCTCTTTAAAGAATAGTCAGAAAGTCGGAGATAACTTTTCTTCTTAAAAAAACCCAAACGCTATTCATCATTCAAACTCAACATCCCATAACTCCTAATTATCTGCTAGTTACTCCCCTCCCATCTGTGTTAAAGTTATTCCCATCTCTAAGAAACGCTGGGCTCATTTTCACCCCTAACCTGGTCCTGGCGCTGTTTCCTTTCACAGCCAAGTTCCTTACGTGGACTTGCCTCTACTATCGCATTTCCCGCAAGGGAACCCATTCCTGGACCAACTCTAATGCTGACTATAAATCTCTAGAGACCAAGTAATTGAAGGTCGTATCTCCACTGACACTGCGTGAGCTTAACACCTTTTCTAAGCCACGCTCGTGGCCTGCCTCCTTCAACCGCTCTGCCCTGGACCACACCTCTGACAGTGGTGGTGTCTCTGGGTCCCACTACTGAGAAAAAAACTCTTTACAGTATAGCCTGAAAGTTTAAGTCATCCTGTACTATAACTATAGTTATTCCTTTACTGATTTCTGATTAGATTGTGAGCTCCCTGAAAGGAAGGACCAGCCATAAACTCTGTTTTCATGGTCCAGCATCTACCATGGTGGTTGTTTAAAAAAAGATTGGTACTTGGGAGAGATTCACCCAAATCCCTTTTCACCCGTTCTTCCTAGTCATTATTGGACCTGCTTCTTCTTCTTCCTCTTTTTTTCTCATTGAACAAAACTGCTAGGATCTTTAAGACTTTTACTAGTGCCTAAAACTCTGCCTGAAACATTTCCTCAGCAAACAGTGAGTACCTTCTGTGTGCCTCAAGCCTGGGATACAAAGACGAGGAAGAGGGAGTGCCTGCACCCTCAGGGGACCCCAAGTTTACTGAATCTAAGCTTCTCTGGATAGCTTGCCTCCCACCTGGCCACCCATAACAGCCTGCCCCTCTATCCAAATGCCCTCTTTATTGACATGTATGTAATGTAAACACAGCATCATCTCCTTAAGAACTGCTTTAATGTCCTTAAGATATTAATTGCTTATCTTTTAGAAGTGGATTCCCTGTAAACAAGGTTTTCATAAGTCCTTCTGTACAGAGCACGCCTGAAGCAACGTGCCAGGGGACCTCACATGGTTGTTCCTCGCGGTCTATGGTGCCTGCTCTCCCCACTTCCCTCTCACCCAACTGCTCCTTGGTGCGCAGGGTGTTGAAGCAAGGCTCCGAGATGATCTGACAGAAGAGCTCCAGAAACATGTTCTCCGAGGTGTTCTGCATGTCTGTTTGGTAGTATATCTCGATGCCACAGTTGTTGTGAACTTCATTCCTCTGCTGATAAACAAACCACCCTCCTAAGAAGTTTCAAAAAGAGAGCAGCCCATTAAAAACTTATTTAGAGTTTAATAAAGTTAATGTTTTGTTTGGCTTTTAAAAGTTGTTCAATTTGATGTTTTTTGGCAATTCCATTCTGTAATTAATTTATTAGAATGTTTCTTAACACCTAGAATTTGAGAATGGGATGTGAACTGAGTTATTGTTGACCATGAGGAAATCTGCAAGGGCGTTTGAGAAACCAAAGAGAGAGATGCCATAGGAGAAGAGAGAAAAGGCAGGAGTGCAGTAAAAAGAGGTATGAAACATTTCACTTTGAAATTTTGTTTCTAAACTGGCATCACCTTGTCTGATGACCAAGTTTGGTTTTTTTCATCCTCTCCCAAGAACATTTTTTCATTGCTTTTAGAGAGGAAGGGAGAGAGAGAAACATCGATTGGTCGCCTCCTGTACATGTCCAGACCAGGGATCATCTCTACCCGACCGGGGATCAAATCTGCAACTCAGATCTGTGCCCCGACCGGGAATCAAACTGTCAGCCTTTCGGTTAAGGGACGATGCTCCCACCAACTGAGCCATGCCACAGGTAACAGTGATATCCTGAGGCAGTACTATGTTCGAGTTGGTTTTGTAGCTACTCCAGTCTTAGCTACTTAAGACCGGACCCTGGTGTTAAGAAACGGAGAATCTAACAAGGGATATGGAGATGTATTCCAATCCCAGTGCAAGAGAGGAAAGTGCTGAGTAGCTTAAATAAGGAAAGGTTCGGAAAACGTGTGCTGCAAAGTCAGAAGAATGAGTGATCACTTCTACCTGGGAGTTTTAGAAAAGCTTAGTGGAATAGGGAGCTTATGACACAGGAGAGGAAGGATGAAGAGGTGTACACATAGGTCCACGAGGAAAAGGAGGGTTGGGGGTGGGAAGGAGCAATATATCAGAAGGATAAAATAGCTGGGGAAAAAAGCACAGACCAGGTATGTATGGGAAACAGCCAACTATCAAGTGTGGCTAAAAGAAAATCAATGCTTCTCACCCCGGTCTAATAAACTTCCCACCAGACAATTTTGAACAATATTGAAAATATGCTTAGTGAGTTATTGTATCAAGAGAAACCACCATTAATGTAAAAGTAACCCAACACTGCGAACTCTAATATATTATCTGTTTTTTATGTTAAAATTCCTCATAAAATATGCATATAATAAATACATGTAGTTATGTTCGCCTGTGGCTTTCCTAAAACAATTTCTGCCAAAGACACTATGGGCTTCCAATTAGATATTATAATTCTAGTTTTCATTTTTTATAAATAAATTTAATCTCATCATTCATAATCAACTTTTCTTTAGCTTTGTGATATTTTTACTTACTAACGCCTCTATATTCAATTACTAGTCAATTCCAGTATCATTCCCTTCAAAATAATTGCTACCTTGAATTTCACATCTTTGGTCTACCTACTGAGAACTTCCTGGCAGAGTTATCTGTCTTTCACCACACTTCTAGAAACAGAAGAGGATCCCGTAGTTCTTTACTGTAAAACAATACGTTGTCATCTAAGTGAATTTGATGTACCTGTGATCACCCACAATACTATGTCAAAGTCGTCCATTACCAAAGTTTTAACATTTCAACTTACTGTCAGGGAGCTGAACTTCTCTATACCGAACCAGCTGACTTGGAAGGAGAGGTTTTGTATGAGCATGTTCAATAAGAGTGTCTTCGACCATCTGCATAATACCTAATGCAGCCTGTGGAAAAAGACAGGCCACAGTGCATTACAAGAACACAAATGTATCTTGTCTGTGAAAATAAAAAAACAGTATATTGAATGATATCCCATGCAATATGAAAACTACACATCTGTGAAATAAACCTTAAATCTTAAATACATTTGACCCTATTCAAATGGATAAAAATTAAATTTGTCAATTTGCATCAGTCACTATCACAGCAGTGAAGAAAAGCAGGGACACAGACCATCTCGATGCTGGGGAAAGGCATTGCTGGAGCTGGAGAGGGTCTGGTGACCCAAAGGCAGCCCCAGGTGAATGACAGCTGTGGCTATAGCAAAGCAAAGGAGGCGAGCATAAGGCTTTGTTTTGAATAAAAATGACCTTGCTAAGAACCTTGTGTCTGCCATGGGGCTCAGTGTTTGGGAGGCAGTATAGCAGAGCTGTAGAGCGTGTGAGCATCTGAGACAGGCTGACATGGGAATTCCAGAGTGCTGTTCATGCACTGAACACTTGGCCTTCACCACTTAATTTAATCCTAATAACTCTACTTTTACAAACAGGAAAACAGCACGGAGAGGTCGAGCTGTTTTCAGAGGATTATGTATATAGTGTGTGGCACAGTTAGGATTTGAATCCAGGCTGTCTGATTCCATGCCACGTGCTTTTACCCACTGCAGTCCTGCTGTTCTACACAGAGTAGGGACCATTTTTGCCACTTCCTTCTGTGACTGCACAAGACAGGGGACAGCAGAAGCAGTGGCCATGACAGTAGGTCCATAGTTAACCACACTCATGCCCCGCCCCCTATGCTTCCTCCTTCTTCCATCCTCAGAGAGCAGAGAAGGTTCAATGAGTCTGGATGTGCTTATAATCCCACTGTGGTGGTGAATAGTCTCAGACAGACTAGGGAAAAAAGCTCTTGAACTGATCCATAAAAGACTGCTAACACTTCGACCACCCACCTGCTTAGTTATGTTTCCATGAAGAAGGGCTTCAATGTGCAGCCGTGACAGGAGCTGAGGTATGAAGGCCTTAAGGCGAGGAAGGGTGACATCTGGAAAGGGGTAAGAAAAAGAGAGCTCTACTTATGAGGTTTTGTAAAAAGCTTTGAGACAATTTAAGACTTATGGAAGAGTTCCGAGTTCAAAACCAATAGAGTTTCTGTATACCCTTTGTCCGGCTTTACTTAATCTTAACATCTTTCATAACCACAGTACAACGATCAAAACTAAAAAATTAACACTAGTACAATACCATTAACTAAAATACAGACTCATCATTTGGATTTCAATTTTTCCACTAGGATCTTTTCTGTCCTAGGATCTAACCCACAGTCCCACCTTGCATTTAATTGTTGTGTATCCTCCAATCTGTGACAGTTCCTTGGTCTTCCCTTATCTTTGAGGACCTTCAGATTTTTGAAGAGTACCATTCAGTGCTTTTACAGAATGCCCTTTGTTTCAGTTTGTCACGATTAAATTGAGCTTGTGTAGGAAGAGCACCACAGGGGTCGCGTGCCCCTCAGTGTGGCACATCAGAGGTGCGTGGTGCTGGCACATGGTGGTGCTGGTGATGTCAACGCTGACCACTTGGGAGGGGTGGTGTCTGCCAGGTGTCTGACTGTAAGTGCACTATTTTATTCTTTTGGTTATAATTGAGTCACTTGCATACGCTTGACGAGTAATTAAGGAATTAGGAAAAGCCACCTACTCATCAATGCTTACTTTTCCTACTGTAATTAGTAAATATTTATTTTGAGGGAAATACTTAGAAACTATACAAATATCCTGTTTTTCCTTAACTTTACTCACAAATTTTAGCAACCCTGGTGTATATTGCATGTATCAATTATTATTATTATTATTATTATAGGATTCTAATAGTGAGTTTTCTACTACTCACTTTCCTTTCACATGTATTGATCCTTCAGTAAGAAAGAGTTGTCCCTTCTCTATTAGGATGCTATAGTAGTAATTGCTGCAATGGATGTTAAAATTAGTGGCTGAAATTTAAAGAAAGACAGGGAAAGGAATTAACAAGTGCAGAAAGAAACTGTCCAGTATCTTACAGATTTTATAAACTATAAAGTGTGTGTGCTATTATCCCCATTTTAAAGGTGAGAACTTAAGTTAAGAAAATGTAAATTTCTTGACCAAAGTCATCAGGCTAGTAGGCTGCATGTGATCCCTGGTCGTCCTGATTCTGGAGTGCACGCTTGACCTCCTCCACCGCACTGCCTTCGGAGCCCCCTCTGCAGCCTCTGTCACAACAGCTGCTCCCTCTGCCTCTACCGAAATGGTCTGTTTACAGTCATTCTTTGCCACTAGACTGGAGCTCCCCCATCAAAGAAGCCCCATCTAAATCATCTTTTTTTTTTTTTTTAATCTCAAGTAACTGGAGGCTAAGGCCTAGTGCATAGCATGCAGTCAGTAAATGCTGCCGGACCATACTGAACTCTGAGACTCTTGCTACCCCAGCACCTGGGTAGCTGACTGGCTTAGAGTCATGAGGGAGCCAGCTTCTCACAATGAGTTGTCTCCAGATTAAGCCACGTTGGCATTACTGAATTACTACATTAATACGTATAACAAAACAGAACAATTGTTGTTTAAAGCAAAGAATTTCAACTAAGAAAGTGCTTTCTCTTTGTAAATTACATTTTAGGAAGGCTTCATATGCCTGAGATACTTTAGAGCTTATTCTGCTTAAAAATTCATATAACATCTGACCCAGAAACTAAAAAAGGGGGTTGAGGAATCCAAAACTCTGCTTGTTGATCATGCTGAATACAGATTCAGTTTCTTAAAAAATGTATTTAAAATCAATTAAGCAGTATTTTTTTAAAAGCAAAATTTTTACTATTAACTGAATGTTACTCATAACCATTTTCCAAAGAAAGGTGTATTAACTATTAAGATTAAAAATGTGTGTGTTCTAGTTAATTAATTTAATAATCTATACACCTTCCCAATGCCTGAGGCAACCAATAAAATAATTATTTTTCAATACTTTGTGCTCTTGCTTTGTCACTGAAGACAGCAAAAGTGGAGTGTTACATAGTAAGTATAAGTAAGGACTTAGCATAAAAGAGCATTAAAAATTCAACTGTATTCTTTTTCATTATCGCTGAGCATGCAAAAATAAGATTAATTGGTAAAGTAATGCTGGGAAATGAAAAAGATAAAACAACAGAGGATGATAGCAGTCTACACTCTTTCCAATGAAGAAGCCCTAAAAGTCATTCCATCCCATTCCATAGGCATTCATTCACTAGACACACACACAGAAGATATGATATTATACTAGATATTAAATAAAGACAGTAAAAAGAAGACATAATCATGGCCCTCAAGGATTTTACAACTTTCGAACAAACCCTATGAAAACTAGATTCAAACTTTTAGGAAAAAGAAAAAGATGACACTTCAGTCATATAGTTCCTAGTTTTTACCTGAACTAAACAGAACCAGGTGCCTGAGCACCTTCTGTGGGACGAGACTTTCAAACCTAGCCCCTTTTTCCTTTTCTGAAAACAATATTAACAACGTAAGTGTTTTGGTCAAAACCTTCAGTCATCTGCAGAAATCCACAAGCAGAACTAATTAACTGCTGTTGGTCCAGGCTGAAAACAGCAAATGTTGAGTAAACTGCATGAATACCAAAGGCCATCACTGCTTTTATAAAAAAGTAAGCAATCTGGCTTTAAGAGAACTGTAAGTTATTAGAAAGCATAAACACTAGACATGAAGATAATAGAAAAATAAAGTATTAGCCTATCAACAGAAAGGAGACTCACCATCCAGGGCTTCTTTTAACTCGTCTTTAGTCCAGGCCACTTCAGTCATCAGCAAGCGGAGGTAGTACATGGCGTGCTGGTGAGGCTGTTCAGCCCGGAAGTTGTTAAGAGATCGCATATACTAGTGAATGGAGACATGGAGTCATTAATTTTATAAATCCTTTTAAAAATCATTTCATACTAACTTATGAACAAAAAAACACAACAAATTACAAAAATAAGTTCAGAAAACTTACTGCCTCTTTGATAATTTCAAATCTTTTTTCGTCAATCTCAAAGGTAGCCATTTTCTCAATAATCTTCTTTAGCAAAATTGGCTGCTTGTCATTGTAACCTTTCACCGAGAGCTACAGAAAAAGTTCAGGGCGTTAAAGGTCTAAAAATATCATGCAACACCTTAAGTTTGATTCGTAAACATTCAGAAAATCCCCAAACCAACTGCTTTAAAATAAAAATGAAACAAGAAATTAAATTAATTTAACTTCTCATAAATATAGTTTAACACTTAGATAACATTAACCATTGGTATTGACTAATACCCAATAGCATGATCTCGCTTTTCCTAAATAAAATCAATGGTAGAAAAACTCATCTGAGGCCCAACTGTGGCAGCACACACGTCGTCAAAATTTAAGTTCTTGTAAAGTAAAAAGTAATTACAGAATGCGTTTTTAAGTTTAATCTTCAAAAAATGTCTAAGGAATGGATGGCTTAATGTTTTCATAGGTGATAAGAAGGTAAAAGTTATAGGGGAGTGTTATCTACAAACTATTGGACATGTCCCCCAATTTTTTATATTCAAATATTTTTGTAAAACATATTTAGAGAAATCAGGCAGCCTGATTTTTCACGTGGCATTTGGCCACGTTTACCCTTCAGTGCTGGCCAGTAAGGGTCCATGCCTTACCACATGCTGGCTGGAGGAATTCTGCTGGTGAGCCAAAAGCTAACAGCAAAATAGATGTGTGGTGAGGATACACTGGGTTTTGCCTTAGGAACATTTAATAGTCTCTGAAAACATAACATTTTGAAAAATGGGGGGTTCCTATACTCATATTTCCTATGATTCTATTTGCACATGGTGGCACCCACTGCAGCAGAGGATACAACGCACCTAGAAGACCTATGGGATGAGAAACGAGAGGCAAAAACCTCAGCAAAAGCGAAGGGTCTCGGCCATGGACAGCACATCACATACTCTGCAAACTAGACTGACAATTGGCTGAAAGCTCATTTTGTCACAAATAAATTATTTATGTAAATGGTGACATAATTCTAAAACTCAATAGTGAACAATAAACAATGGATCATCACTTTTCTATTTGGAGTTTATTTGGACTCTGAGTTTCAAATTTCCCTGGATTCTGAGAATGATTAGGTTATTTACATTGTGATACACCAAATGAAAACTACCAAAAAACTTACTTGTATGAAAAAAAAAGTCACTGCAAATAAGTAAAATTTATAATCCCTAAAACCTTTTGCGTAAGAACTTATAAAGAGGAGTACAAAGCACATGCTCTCATTTTAGTTGTTACTAAAACATACAATATATTTTCAAGGAAAGTGAAGAATGTGTGCCATAAAGGGATGTTAATTTGAAAATGAGATGTAAGTTTGTAAACATCACAAACAGTGTCAAGAGAAAGGATCTACTTATTTCTTAGAGTGTATTTAATAATGCTTATTCTAAAACACACTCAAAAGTAGTTAATGATGCATGCTACAAAAAAATTAAATGAAAATGTCACAAATATCTGAACACAGGAACTTTCTACTACTGTCAATAGACATAAAGAAAGCTTATACGTAAATAAAATTCAAGCACCACAACAGAACTATGGACATCTTCCGCTTACAGATGTAAATATACTCAAATACATGAAAAGAACAACATGCTTTCAGTATTACCACGTTAAGCATTTCAAGCAGAGGAGGAACATGCATGTAAATGTAGCACACATACATGTTCACAAGATGCACTAAACTCTACTAAATCATCCATTAGTGTAGCTAATACCAATTTGAGTTCTTCAATCATTAAAAAGATGCAAGGAAAAAACCATCAATCTTCTTGTTTAAAAATGCAGAAGTTAACAGTTTTCCCAAGCTCAACATAATGCTTAAAACGGTGTGGTGCCTTTTCTTTGGTTTTCATTCTACTTACAAGTATTGCATTCATTCCTGATGCAATGCCATAGCTCAAACCTGAGAGGCGTGCTGCATATGTATACTCTTTTAAATCATCCTTCAATAACCTGATAAACAGGTATGTCATGTTGCAATGGAGAGGATCAGCATAAATGTAGCGACTAACAAAAAGAAAAACAAAAGAAATGCTTTGATACCTCAAGCAGTGGCATGGTAATGAAGAAACATGACCGAAGAGTATGGATATGCAGCCTCATGATCTGAATTGCTAGGGAAATAGTATAGGCCAACCTTATGTTTACAGTGGCAGCAAGATGTCATTCTCTGTTGTCAAAGACCAAGACTTCAGACACAGAATGGGTTAGATCTAAACCTAAATCAGGGTCCAATTTTGTTGAGGAGAAAAATATGATAATTTGATGAAAGATGTTTAAAAAAAAAAGAAATCAAGGAAAATTGGTATAATATGAACAGTATAATGCTGAATACTTAAAATAAAAGCTAACTTAAAAATTAAATGATGAGGAAATATGATTAGCCATAAAGATTAAAAAAAGAAAGAAATTCAACTCATACCCTCAATCAAAAACGCTTCCATCAAATCAATGTAAAAAAATGTTGATGAGTGGAAGGCTCTAAGACATGGGTACTTACATACATCCCATAGATGGTATTTTGGAGGTCATAGCTCAAGCCTGCTAGTTCTGCTGCATATGCATACTCGTTGAGTGAGTCTTTGAGGAGCTCAAGGTACAAATAGGCCATGTTACAGTGCAAGGGGTCCACATAAGCAAATGGGCTGGAAGAAAATGTTGACAGTAAAATAGCTGATTTATTACTTCCCAATGTGATATGTGGCCTTTCGAGATGGATCAAGAAACCGAACATCAATTCATACAATTTCCTGAAGACACGGTTTGAATTCTTGAGTCTGTCTCTTATGAGGAAAAACAGATGCCTAAAAAAGAAGTCTGAAATATGCCATGTGTGCTGGTGGAGGTGAGGAGGAAGAAGGAGCTGCTTATCCCAGATGGTGTGACAGAACTGAAAAGTTAGAAGTGGAACCGGCCCAAACACATACCTACGTTCAGACTAGTAGGAGGAGGTAAGGTTGAAAGATCTGATTCAGTACTGGCACGTCCCTTGTCCTTCTAAGCAAGCCTACCTTGGTGGACTGGACCATGAGACTGAGAGGCTTATTGTGCTACAATTATATGAACTTAAAAGAGAAAAATTGAGACCTGTGAAAATGTTCGCTTATCTGTGAGCTTCCCCCAAACCAATAAAGCTAGAGCACTGTCAGTAAAATAATTAGTGATTTCCACCACATAACTGCAGCCGGAACTAGGAAAAAATATTAAGATAGAAAAATATTTAAGTGAGAAAGGGCAACAAAAGAGAACAATTATGGAGCACAAAGGCTAAATAGGACCACAGAAATCACCTATTTTAAAATTTAATTTCCTAATTAAGAAATATAATTTTCCTCATCACTTGGGTTGGTAGCAGCAGAGTTAAGACTCAAATTTTAGTAAATGATCTATGCATCTGACTATATGACACTGCTTACCTTTATGAGAAGTAAAAGATGCATTCATTCTACAAATATGTATTACATGCATAATTAAACACAATGCTAGGCTCTTCTCTAGCTACTGGGAACACAGAAGGGGCAGATCAGGTAAAGTCACTGACCAGAGTTCATAATCCAGTTGGAGGAGACACATATTAAGTGTAAATACATGCTCGGTGGTGACAGTGCTATGGAGGAAAATTAAACAGGGGGAGGTGCGTGGAGTGATGGGTCGTGGTGACAAGACAGAAGATTGCTAAGATGGTCAATAAGGCCCAGACCTGAAGGAAGTGAAGGAGCAAGGCCTAGGGATGTCGGGTAGGTGGAGAGCTTTCCAGGCTGAGAAAACAGCTAGTACAAAGAACCTGAGGCAGGTGCTCTCCTGGCTTGTTTGGCAGCAAATTCAAAGTTTCACTCCATAGAATAGTAAATAAAACTAATGCACTGAGAGCAAAGCCAACAATTTTATCAAAAACTGATACTGCAGCAAAAATAGGGGTAAAATGCTCAGCCACTTTGAGAATTAAAATCAAAGAAAAAACTCTACAGCTATACAAACATCCTTCATCTGGAAAATCTAAGTGAATGCTGTGTCAATGAATTTTTTAAAGCATTATACATGGCAACAGATGTCCTTTTTTAGGCAAACAGCAGCTCAGAAATTTAGGGCATAAATCAGGAAAGCAAACTTGTCAAAAGAAAAGAGTCCAGCCCTGGCTGGCATAGCTCAGTGGATTGGGCGCAGCAGGCCTGTGAACCATAGGATCGCGGTTCGATTCCCAGTCAGGGCACATGCCTGGGTTGCAGGCCAGTTCCCAGGAAGGGATGCACAAGAGGCAACCACACATTGATATTTCTCTCCCTCTCTCCTTCCCTTCTCCTCTAAAGATAAATAAGTAAAATCTTAAAAAAGAAAAGAGCCCAGGAAAGGGCTCAGCCCACAGGCACCCACTATGCACCTTTCTTAGGTGGAAGGGAAAAGCCAGAACAAGCCAGCTCTGGGAGCTCATGGCGCTGTGGCCCAAGCTCAGAACGCAGCTCTGGGAAGTGTCCGAAAGTGCTGTGTCCACGGCAGCCACGCCAGTGAATTGAAAAGGGTCCTACACAGACTTTTAAGAGAAAACATGATTCAACTGAAATTCTGATTCATTTCTCAATTTGAAAAACATGATTTTGTAATCAGATGCCATATGTTTAAATATGGATCACAGAGTTTTAAAAACTGTAACTCAGAATGCGTAATATAATCCTATTTCTGTAAAGACTAAAAGGACATATACATATACAAAATATTTCCACAAGAATCTACAAGAAAGCCAACAGTGTATATACCTCTAGGGAGACCACAACACAGAGAGGATTGGTTGGAGACAGACATTTTTAATTCTAAGAACTATGCTGGGTGGTTTAGAATATGTAAAAATATCAAATGGTCTCTCAAAGGGTGTTCTGAAGCCAAACGGGAAAATACAGGCATACCTTGCTTTATTGTGCTTCACAGATGTTGAGTTTTTTATAAACTGAAAGCAAGACCCTCCATCAGCAAAAAAAATTATGGCTTGTTTTATTACAATACTCGTCTTATTGCGGTGGTCTGGAACCCAACCTGCACTATCTCCGAGGTATGCTCCTAAGCAAGCCGGGAGTAGGGAGAGCAGTATCTACAGGCTCCAGAAAGTAATGGGCTGGGAGAGATTCCGGATCATTTAGTAACTACTACCACATTCTTCTACAGGGCATGTGCTAGGAATATAAAGCCAAAGCCACAACAAAAATGCCTAAATGATTTAATCTTCTTTAATAAAACTTTTGGGTGAGTCAATAGCCTTTCCAGATTCCAAAATCCTAATGGTTAGGAAGGTCGTCCTCCTAGTAACTCACCCAAATCACCTCAGTTAAAGGGTGTACTCCTCAGTGGAGAGGGAAGCACGAACAACCTTGGTTCTTACAATAAGACTTAACAGCAGCAGCTTTCCCTTGCCTAGGCTAAATACATGTCCTTTTGTTTTTAGACATGGGTCCTCAAGGAACCAAAGAAACCTTTTAGAAAGTAATTATTCATTTTTATAAGAAGCTTTATAGCTTGATTCATCTTACCTACCTGAAAAATTCAAAGTTGAGACAAGCCTTTGGCAAGAAAAACTTGTCATCTTGTTTGAACCAGAGTTTGCTCATAGCTGTATCCTGTGATGAAAAAGAAATTGGTTATGGAAATATGGGCATATTTGGCAAAAATGTTCACCACCCTTCAAGAGAAGAGTTGTGGAGAGACTGTTGTCTCCTGGTCTTGAAGCATACTCAGAGGGCCAGCAGGCCGGGAGTGAAAGGAGAGGACTGGTAATTCCAGTAGCAGAGAGAAATCACCGTTTTATCTCCCCTGGATTAATGAGATGGAGACACAGTGGAGGAAGATCAGACTGGAGAAGCCAGTATCAACTGTCCTGCCCGTTGTTCCGGACCCTGGGAAGCAGTGCAAGAGTCCTTAGGTGGGATGTGCCAGCCAGCTGCCAAGGTGGGCCACAAGGATCCCTGCCACTAGAACCCACACCTTTGTGATGTCCTCTCTCCCACAGTGAACCAAAGTTGGCCTGGTCTGTCTGACCGACAGACTGTGACAGAAGTGATGGTATGACACCTCTGAGACTGCATTACGTAAGACACTGTGGCTTCCCTGCTGATCGCTCACTTTGGGGGAAGCCAGATGCCATGTCGAACAGCTTTATGGAGATGCCCACACGGGGAACAAATGAGATCTGCCAGAAACCACTCAACTTCAGCTCCAGTTGAACCCTTCGGCTCTACCTGAACCTTCGGATGGACAAAGCTGCAGCCAACAGCTTGACTATAACCTCATGAGAGACCCTCAGGCAGAACTACCCAACAATTTTATCCCAACTGCATGAAATAAAATAAGTATTTGTGATTTTCAGCTGCTAAATTTTGGAGTCATGTGTTACCCAGCACAGTAACACAGCCGGGGATGAACAAATGAGCCACCACCTTGACTCTCTGCTTCTCTCACACTGTATTAAAAATAGCCTCAGGTGTTCACTTGAAACTCTGATGAGAAAGAAATGGTTTAATGTTCTCATTAGTTTACTCTGAAAAGGCCTATTTAAATAAATAACAATTAAAACTTGAGAGATAAACAAGTTTTGTCTTTCAGTAGCCTAACCTATATAACTCATTAAAATGTCATTTCTAAAGAAAAATGGTTGTCTTAATAATAACGTAACTGCTTCAGATAAATCCAATTTCATATTCCTAAATACTAATTCTTATCTCACTGAGTTAATTGAATGCTAGGTCATTGCAAGAAAATGAAAATTAAGAAATATGAGTGTTGATGGTGGTGAATTTAGAAAAAGTTAGTTTTAGAAAAGAGAATGTGCTGGAATAATTTGATCTTTTTTCTACACAATTTTTACTCTAGGTATGAATTAATGATGTGACAATAACATTCTGAAAAAGAAAAAGAAAACCCACAGCTCAAACATCCTTCCTATTTGGGTCCACACCACTCTGTCCAAAAGAGAGTTGTTTTCAAGGGCAGGGAAATTCAACAGCCCCCCTCCCCCCCCATGTGGACGCTCTCTTCCAGGCTGGAGATTCTTATCTCTAACTTTTACGATGCAGCATGAAATCTACTTCCTTACTGGGTCTTCGGTGAATATGAAAAGGAAGACACTATCTTTCAATAGACTTGTTGTTACAGTCTAGACTCACTATTTTTTCCCTACAGAGAAAACAATTCCCTAGATTCTGTCTAGTAGTTTTGTTTGCTTCCTCCAGTGTTCTTTCTGCAATTTTTCTGTTGTCTCTTTGGATGTGAGCCCCCCAAATCAGCAAAGTACCAAATGCAAGAAGTCATCTCTCCAAGTCCCTTCCACGTAATAGGTCTGTCCCTTGAATTTAAAATCACCAAATCTAACATGTTACCTTAATGAGAGAAGGACATGGTGCTGCTTCTTTTTCTAAAGGTAAAATCTCAAAATTCGTAGGAATAAACTCATTCTTCATTGGAAGTTTAAATTTCCCATTCAGTTCAGCATTTTGCCATTTCTGGATGGATGATGAAAAACATGAGCTTAAAAACAGTCACTTCACTTAATATCCAGGCAAATATTAAGGGGATAAATGTCACATAGCATTCTTTTCCATCAAAAACACAGAGGCTACTCCTAAGATCTATTGGTGACTTTTTATAAAACTTGAGTTAGAGTCTCAAGTACTAACCAAGGTTTTTTTACACTTACCTCTTTTCCTCTTTCCGAGTCTCAAAAATGACCAAATAGGGTTAAGAAATAATCTGAGATTGTGGAACACTGAGAGGCTGATTGGTCCATATGAAGATCATGTTTGCTTCAGTTCTTTAAAGAATAAGGAATAATCTGTACAGGAATATTTCCTGCAGTGGGTAGGGAATAGGTCGTTTATTTTTTACCCTTACCCAAGGACATGCTTATTGATTTTAGAGAGAGGAGAACGGAGGGAAAAAGAAAGGGAAATGTGGACGGGAGAGATAAACACTGATCCGTTGCCTCTTGGAGGCACCCTAACCAAGGATGGAACCCACAACCTGGGTGTGGGCCCAGACTGAGAATCAAAACCATGGCCTTTTTGGTTTATGGGATGATAGTAATAGGTCGTTTATATAAGAGTTAAAACTTTAGCTACACTAAGTTACTTGCATGTGTGATCTGAAAACAAGGCTAAATGGGGCTTCTTTCACTTCAGTACTTCTTAATACCAGGCCCACACCTGTCACGGATGACCATGTGAACTTCAAGTGGAGCAGTAATTCAAGCACAAGGTTAAGGACAAACTTAAGATTTAAGTCTGGATTGTGGGACAGGGCTGATACTACCTGCAGGTTGGATCTGTTCCACAGGCTAGTGCCAAAAGCTAAGTGGGACAGATCTCAGGCCATCGATTGCTGAACTCTAATTTATAAGGCTTTTCATTACTTAAAAAAGAAATAAAAAGCAACCGACTGCCAGTAATTCTGGGTTCTATAATTTGGTCTCCAGATGATGTGGCAGGACCTGGCAGCTTCAGCAATTCTATTCTGGTCCCTGCATTTGTGTCTTTTGGCACTGGGGCCGTGGGGATGTTGGCCATACTATTTGTGAGTGGCAATAAGTCTCTAGAAATGGCTGAACAGTAGAAACCAGTAAGCACTTAGTAATTTCACTGCTAAGCTCCCAGATAAATTTGTTTTTTAAAAAATTCCCATGCAGGGCAGAGCTGTCCTGGTCAGAATTTGGTGAATAGGGGTTCTCTCTTGTTTTAGGATTAGTTCAGACCCAGCACTAACATGGAATATCAGCTTTCCTCGCAGTTTAGCAAGTTGGGCTCCAGTGAACTCCTTCTATGCTGAGGATGTGTCAGAAGTGCCAGTAATGATTTTCTTTCTTAAACTGTTTCTTCTTTTTCCTGTATCGTCATTACCCAGGTACGTTTAAGAAATGTCCCCTGAATAAAGGACACAATCTCAAAGCTACACAATGAGAACTGTAAAAGAAAATGTAACCAGACAAGTAGAGAGGACTCACAAACAGAACTGTGCCTACTGACGAATGGGACAACACACTACCTAAATATCCCTGTTTTGAAAAGCCAATCCTCCTCCCTAGGTTGACAAAAAGAGCAATGATGCAACATGAGGCATTAAATACAGCACCTCTTCAAGAGAAGACTGTTCCCTGCCTGTATTCCCAGCAAGATCATGAACTCTCTGGAGCCCCTGCATTTATTTTTCATGCTTCCAACTCCCATCTCTTCCTGCCCGTCTGTCTTGGTGTCTTTGCTTCTCTGGGTACTTTGGACTTCAATGATCTCTGACTGCATTGAAGCTGGAAGTCTGCCTGACAGCCCTGCTGGTCTGAGAGACACAGAAGGAGGCGGCCATACTGTCATTTCTTCAGGCCAAACCTAAGGTCCAGCTCTCCATCTTCCTCTTTTCTGCTCTCAGGATGGTACAGATGGCACTGGGCCATCACTGTCCACACCCCGGGCTGTGAGCTGGTTGACCTAGGGAGCTCATGTTGGTGTGTGCCCTTCACACAAAGACTTCTTCACAGTTGAGTTAACCATACCTTAATGACTTCATCTGGTATAGCCTCTTGTTTGTAGTGGGTTCCATACCATTCTTCTGTGTGATCAGTTTGTCCTTCAAAAGATTTGGAGACTATTGCAACCCTGGAGATAGAGGGGGAAAAGCAAAAAGAAAAAAACCCTTTATGCTGTGGTTGGGTAGCTCACTTGGTTAGAACATCATCCTAATACACCAAGGTCAGGGCACATACAAGAAGAAACCAATGAATGAACAAATAAGTGGAACAATAAAATCGATTTCTCTTTCTGTGAAATCAATATTTAAAAAAAATTTTAAAGAATCTATAAATTCATGTTGTCTATATAAAGTTATAGAACCTCACTCATGAAAATGTAAATAATATCCAAGAATGTGTCGGGCCTTTAAGACCCAGAAAATCCAATAAGGCTTAGCTGAAACAGGCAATGCATGTACAGAGGTCTCCGATCACAGTCTCTGTATCCTCCAGTTATAGCCCAGCATTTTTAGTGGGAAAAAGTACTTCCAGGAAAGGTTCTTGTGGGTACGCTATTGACTAAAAGAGTAGTAGTTAGGGGGGAAAAAGAACAAAACAATGTCAGTTGAAAAGTAGTCCTTAAAAAGTAAACTTCCCAGGAACAGCTCAGGCCTGGGGTTAACAAAAGTGTAAATCCATTGGTTCATGCGTAGATACAAAAAGCCAAAAACACACGTTTATTATTACTTGCTAAATTTGTGCTTTATGTTTGTTTTTTTCTGCAGAGACTACCATCCAAAAACACACTTTTATTATTACTTGCTAAATTTGTGCTTTCTGTTTGTTTTTTTCTGCAGAGACTACCATCTACTACATCTACTACACGCACCTTAGCCTTCCTGCTGCTAGGACAGAGGGGGACAAGACCGAGAAGCACCTCTCTATCTTCTTGTTTATTAAAAGCTTCCTTGATGGGAAAGTAGAAACAGCTCAGAAGTCAGAAGGAAAAAGAAAGTTCAGGGAGGGAAGTCAGAGGGGAAATGATGTCAAGAAGTAAGGGAACAAAAGATTACAAGTAGAGGAGCAAAAGAAGCTCTGTCCCAGTGGCACGCCTGCCCCCCACGGAAGATTATCAGAACACTTCTTGTCCCTGTACCTTTTAGTTATCAAAGTTGGAATCACTATGTTCCCATCAGCAGAGCAGTCTGATGGGAGCACTGTTATCCAGGTCGTCATGCACTCTATCACTGACCTGCTGCAGTTACCAATGGCAGAGCCACCAAGGTCAATCCTATGTAGAAGGAACATTTTTCCCCCCAAAGGTGAGTGTAGAGAGGAAGAAAGGTTCTTAATTCTAATTGCATATGATACCAAATTTAGAAACAGGCAATTTAAACAAAAGTAAAATGTATGCTCTTGCAAATTCACTCCTATAAAGTATTGCTGGATCAAGTTATTGGCTGCAGGGCAGCAAGAATTATATGAACATAATTTAAAAAATTAAATGTATTTATTGATTTTTGAGAGAAAGGGAGAGAAAGAGAAACATCGACTGGTTACCTCTTACACACAACTGAAACAGGGACTGAACCCCCCACAGGGACTGAACCCCCCACAGGGAACGAACCCCCCACCTTCTGGTGTGTGGGATGATGCTCCAACTGAGCCATACTGACCAGGGCTATATGAACATAATTTAAGTAATTTTTCTTGCAAAAAAGCACATCCTTATCATATAATCTTGACAGCACTACCTTGTATTTGTATAACAGTTTTCAACTTTGCTAAATTATTTTGCATCAGATAGAAAGATAAAATACTATTGCTATTTTGCAGATGGGCAGGTTTCAAGGAAATTAAATGGGAGCCAGTGTTCATGACATTATATAAAGTTAACTTTTCACATGTCCCCTCTGCAGGGTGATGAACTCTGAGGTTTCACATTAGTTACTCCATAAACAATGGTTGATGAGAAAGGTGATCTATCCAAGATCTCATGACTAGTAGGTGACAAAACCACACATACATGGTCACTAAAAGGAATCTTTACAATTGTCCGGTAAGTTCTATTATTAAGTTTGAAGCTCTTTCTCCTTGTGCTGATAATAGAATGTTTTGTTTTTAAAAGGTCTGTAACAAAATTCAGGAGGACTCAGTTTGATTTTTTTGAAGAATATATAGCTACACTGTTTTACTTGGCTAAAATGATTTAGTACATGTTCTGAGTATTTTTCTTCAATATATTTTAATCATGTAAGCAAATGCATAAATCACCCTGTGAGCAGAAGTTTTTATCTCAATGAAGTCTAATTTATCAATTTTTTTTATTTAATGGTTACTGCTTTTTACATTCTAAAAAATCTTTGCCTATCTCAAGGTTTTAAAGGTATTTTCCTTTGTTTTCTCCTAGAAGTTTATAGTTTTAGCATTTATACTAAGGTCTATAATCTATTTCAAATTAATTTTTGTGAATGGTATAAGGAAAAGGTCAAGTTTCATTTTTTTCTATATAGATGATAGATAATGGAAGAGTACCGTTTGTTGAAAAGACTTTCCTCTCCCAATTTAATTACGTTGGTGCCTTTACTGAAAAATAAATTGACTAGTGATGAATGGATAAGTAAAATGTGATATACACACACAATGGAATATTATGCAGCATTAAAAAGGAAGGAAATCTTAACATTATGTTAAGTGAAATTAAAACATATTGTATTATTCTACTTATAATAGGTATTTAACAAAGTAGAAACAAAGTAGAATGGTGATAACTGGAGATAGTAGGAGGGGAAAAAGAAGTTGTTTAATGGGTATATTTTTAGTTTTGCAAGATGAAAAAGTTCTGGAGATCTGTTTCACAACAATACGAATGTACTTATCATTACTGAATCATACACGTAAACATGGTTAAGATGGTAAATTTTATGTTGCATGTTTTTTACAATAAAAAAAGAAAGCAATTGACCATATATGTGTGGGCCTACTTCTAGAATCTGTTCTATTATAATGATTTCTTTGTCTATCTTTATGACAATAGTACAATGTCTTAATTACTGTAGCTTTCTAAATAGTAAGTCTTCAAATTTAAGTCTTCTAATTTTTTTTGTGGGGAGTTAGAGAGTGGTCTGGCTAATCTAGGTCCTTTGTATATCCATATGAATTCTGGAATCACCCTACCAACTTCTGCAAGAAAAAAAAAGCCTACTAAGATTCTAATTGTGATTACAATGAGTCTATGAATCAGATTAGAGAGAACTGACATCTTAACGATATCAAGCCTCCTACTCTCTGCACAAGGTCTTTAGTTTCTCTTGGCACTTTTGTATATTTTTTGTGTAGAGGTTTTGCTTAATTGGTTAAATTCATTCCAAATATCTTATGATTTTGTTGCTAATTGTAAATAATTGTTTTAATTTTAAAAATATTTCTATTTAGAAATAACTGTAAATCTGTAGGATGTTACAAAAATCAAAGAGTCCTGTGTACTCTTCATCCAGTTTCTCTCAATGGTGACATCTTCTTAATTATGGTGCAATGTTGGAGTGAGGAAACTGGTATTGGTACAACGTGTGCATATATTATAGTTCTATGTCACTTTTTAAAAATTTAATTTTCCCATTGTTGCTAGTATATGCCTGGAAAAGTTTGAACAAAGGTAACTAGGAAAAAAGACTTTGATAGAATAGTTCTGTTAGAAGGATTTTTTTCCTTCAAAAAGTTCTACCAGATGGTTGATTGTATTCATAAAATGATTGTGTCAAAAGCAAATTTAGCTCTGGCTGGTGTAGCTCAGTGGATTGGGCATGAGCCCGCAAACTACACGATCATGGTTCGATTCCCAATTGGGGCACATGCCTGGGTTGCCAGCCAGTTCCCAGCAGGGGACACACGAGAGGCAACCATACACTGATATTTCTCTCTTTCCCTTCCTCTCTAAAAATAAATAAATAAAACCTTTAAAGAAAAAAGCAAATTTACTCAATTGTCATGTTCTCAGGAGAATTTTAGAGATATGCCCTTCACAAAGGAGAAAAATTAAAAATGCAAAATAGGTGATCAAATATATTCCTTCTATTATTTCACTTGAAAAAATACAGAGGAGATTCAATTTTAAGGTAGAAACATCACATGGTAGCTCATACTCTCTTTGGGGCTGACCCTCCGGTAACAGCCACACCTCTGTCACCGTAAGAGCTTCTCCAACTGTGCATCTCCTGACTGGCCATGGGTTGGTCAGAAGAATTCTGAGATTGCAATCCTTACTTCCACTTGAAAAAATACAGTGTCCTCACTTGCTCATAGAACGGGTAGGTGAGATGAAACCTTGGGCATTTGAGTTAGGGTAAAGCCAGGTTAAGACAATCTATTATCATATTTTATTCACAATAGAATCTTCATGTTTCAGAGATATTGCCTCAAAATACTTCCAGTGGAGGGAGGATAAGTGAAGAGGGTGGGTAATGACAACAGAGACTGGCCATGTACTGACTGCTGAGGTGTGGTGTTCTGAAGACTGTTACCATCACGCTATCACCTCTGCTTTGTAATCATGCTTGATAAAAAATTTTAAAGCATTTTATCTACAACTTCAAGTTTTCTAATTCTGAACAGTAATGAAAAATTAGTATGTAACTGTAAAATCTACTGAGTGACTCACCGGACATTTTCTGGTCTGAGTTGATCAAGAACCATCTCTATTAAATCAGGTCTAAATTCTTCCAGTAAATATTCAGCTGTGAGCACTTCTTCCAGGGGATAATACTGTAAATAAATAAGTAAGTAAATAAATGTACAAGGCTAACTTATTAAAAAGCAATCAAATCCCTAATACATGAAATCCATTATTTTATACCCCTCTCTTTCCTTCAATATAATTTTAATCCACTAGAAAAATTTCTCAATTTTTTCTCCTTCCTACCACACTTTTAAGCAGTTTTATATTATGGAATGCTCTTATACTTAATCTTCCAATACACTTACATTATAAGAGCAAAATCACATTTTTTCCAGGTAAAAATGTGAGTAATATTTCTGCCTAAAAACTGAGTAATTGTTAATGAAGAAAATCTGATTGTTAAATGCTGACATCCATAGGATTCTTACTATAAATACATTTTTATGAACCAAACTTCTCAAATTTCTATGAACGTAATCAGACAAACATTTATAAAGTTGTGGGGCCCTGGCTGGTGTAGCTCAGTGGATTGAGCATGGGCCTATGAACCAAAGGGTCACCAGTTCTATTCCCAGTCAGGGCACATGCCTAGGTTGCAGGCCAGGTCCCCAGTAGGGGACACATGAGAGACAACACACAGTGATGTTTCTCACTTTTTCCCTCATTTCCCTTCTCTCTAAAAATAAATAGTCTTTAAAGTTATTGTGGGGAAAAATGGCTTCTATTTTTGGCTAGTGGGGCAAAATAAGGTAAAAGACTTTTTTAGTAAGAACAACTTCCAATATACTGAGACAGACTGATTGATCGACTCATTCAACAAGTATTTAATGAACACCCGCTCTGTACCAGACAGTGTTCTAGGGGCTGCTGTGGATACAGCAGCTGCAATCGATGAGACAGATGATGTCCCTGTTCTCAAAGGAGCTATACTGTAATTTGGAAGGAGGGAGACAATAAATAAACACTGTCATTGTATGTATAGGTGCTATGAAGAAAATTGAAAAGGGGCAGCGTTGTGATGGGGAGGTCAGAGAAGGTCTCTCAGAGGAGGAGACACGTGAGCAAGGACCCAAAGGATAAGGGTCTTCCCTCACATAGCCATGCAAAGGTTAGACAGCGTACCAGGTAGAGAAGACGTCACATATAAGGGCCCTGAGTGGAGGAATAAACTTAATGCTTGAAGATAAGGCAAACAGTATCACTGCAGTGAAATGGGAATGGGAGGAATAGGTTGGGGGGATATGGAATATGGTCAGAGAGACAGGCTGGGGCCAGATCACCTTGAAGGTCAAGGTAAAATTATGGATTTTATTCCAACTTTGATGGGAAACTACTGAAGGACTTGACACAGAGGAGCAAAACAATCTAATTCTCGTTTTCAAAAGATCACTAAGGCTGGAAACATAAACTAAGTGGGGACAAGGAAGAACCCAGGGAACCCAGGTAAGAGACTATGATGGTAGTCCAGGCAAGAAATGATGGTAGTTCAGACTGGAGTGGTAGGAATGGAAGTGAAGAAAAGTGAATACATGATCTATAGCTTTCCTGTAATCAGCTATTAACACATCCGAGAATTGAAAACTATTTAAAGCCAATAAGTAAAATGCCTATGTAATGAAAAATATTACAGATGATAATTGTTAGGATAATGAAAATTAAGATTAAGTATGTCTTGACATCAAGGTTTGCCAGGTTGCTACAAAGTCTAAAATCTTATACTGCAGCTTCAATTTCTATCATTTGCGTAGTATTGAAAGTAATACATACAGGATCACTGAAATACTCTACACACCAATACATACAATAAAATAACAGCACTTACATGCAATATCCCTGCGATCTTAGAGGTGTAGCCCCGCGGCCTCTCTTTATCTTTAAACCTAAAAGCAACAGCATTCAAGTCCTAAAATGGAAAGTTAATCCAGTTAGACCCAAGTCAACTATTATTTTACAAATACCTTTTGTGTGTGTGTTTGGTTTGCACTATGGATTTTCTACTCTATACTTCATTACACTTTCAGAAAAAATGACTATGCTTGATTTAAAAATGTCTATGCTTGATTTAAAAATGTATCGAGCATGAATAAAAATAACAAGTGTTTAGGAAAACTGTGTGGAAGAACCTCATGAGATCCAACAGTTAATTGCATAGATGATCATTTTTCTGACCCATTCTGAGAACTGCACCCAGATTAGCACTCCTGTCCTGAACTTCACAGTGATTCTACCTCAAAACTTTTACTGAGGCAAACAAGATGTCTCTGTCCCTTAAATATATTTCAGAATATTGACAGGCCTTAAATATAAAAGACATATCTTTTAAAGCTCTTTAAAAAGAAGCCTTTAAAACTTTAGAAGACAAATAATGTTTTTTCTTATGAAGAAAGGAGGGAGGGGGGGGAGGGGGGGGAGGGGAGGGGGGGGGGGGGGGGGAGGGGGGGGGGGGGGGGGGGGAGGAGGGGGAGGGGGGGGAGGGGAGGGGAGGGAGGGGAGGGGAGGAGATAGCTACGCTTTTCCATCCATATATACAATAAAATCACTCTTAAGACCACAATCATTAAGACCACAATCGTATATGAGACAATTCACTATTTATTTGAAGCTTGCTGCAGATTTTCATGGTCAGATCTGAAAATGAAAGAGCTCATGTAGCTTCAGACAGAGTAAAATAAACCCAGATACCAGCTCAAGAAACTGCTGGCATTCTTCTGAGGGATAGAAAAGCAACCCCGTTCCTTCCCTTTTCCCTCCTGACAAAGGTTATATGATGCCTTCACCCTTAGTTGGGCCCCAGGAAGCCAATCATACTAGTCCAACTAAGCCTCCACTAAAGCTACTATACATTATAAAGTTTTATTTAGAATAGGAAAAAAATGCTTAAAAAGCTTCACAGGGCCCTAAATTTAAATTAATTCACATACTCATATACGTGTCTTCTGAAATTTTTCCTTAAGAAGAATTTTGGTGAAACAAAAGTACCTTGCAGCCCTGGCTGGTGTAGCTCAGTGGATTGAGCACGGGCCTGTGAACCAGACAATCGAGGTTCGATTCCCAGTCAGGGCACATGCCTGGGTTGCAGGCCGGTTCCCTGCAGGCCAGTTCCCAGCAGGGGATGCACGAAAGGCAACCATACATTGATATTTCTCTCCCTCTCTCCTTCCCTTCCCCTCTAAAGATAAATTAAAAAAAAAAAAAGTACCTTGCACTCTTGGAAAACCCATTCTTGAGGTCCTTCTGCACGTAACTTCTGAATGTATTCAAACATGTGCAAAATTATATCTTCAACATGTACTGGAAAAAAGGGGCACACTTTAAAACCATTCAGCCCTCAAATTCTTTAAAGCAGTGAACTCGCTCCTAAGGTAAAGTCGGGTAAGTGGAAGACGGTCCCTCTATGAATTGAAGTTCTCCCTCCCTGAGACTGGTTTTAGGGTCCTGAACAAAAGGCTGTCCAGGTTCCAGGATGCCACGGAATGGGCTCGGTAGTAGTGTGTGAGCGAAGTGTACATTTACAGGTGCAACACAATGCTCAGATGTTAGGTGGGAAAATCATCCATGAAACGAAGGGCACCTTACAAATGAAAAATACAGTGGAGAAAGTGTACACATTTTATAGCTTTACAACATAAAACAGATCCATAGCATAAAGGACTTAAAACAAGTAAGTCAGTTTTCATTCAAACACAAACAAAAAAAATTCAATACTTACATAATCCTTCCTCGGTCAAATCCACATTAATGATAAAAAACATAAAACCTCGGGCTCCTTCCTTCTGCCCGCCAACAAGAGTATTTACCCAGCCTGTAACATTCAACAGAAATAATATGATTGTACGTACTGCCTCTTTTAGGACAGGGCATTTTTTAAAAATTTCATATTGTATGTTCCCAAAAGATTAGAATGGACTTCTTGCAGAAAAGACTGGGAAAAAAAAAACACAGAAAAAGTTCGTAAAAGCAATTTCAGATAAGGCAAGAGTAGAATACTGTGTGTAAGTGTTCTGTAAAGCAAAGGTTGAACTGAGAGGGGCCTTGGAAACCATCAACTGATGAGATCCTACTACATCCTCTGGTAGGAAGGTTATGAGCAGGCAAATAAATAATGGGTAGTGATATTTCCCAGAAATTGGGAAAATATCCAATGTGAGTTTATATTTTTTAACCTCTTCATAAACTTTTTAAAAGTACCAAAATATCTTATGAAATGCCTAACTTTTATTGCTCAATGCTGAAGGGCAAAATAAATTATGAAAATTTTTGAAAAATCCAAAGCAAAGCCCCGGCTGGCATGGCTCAGTGGATTAAGCACTGGAGTATGAGCCAAAGGGTTACAGATTCAATTCCCAGTCAGGGCACATGCCTAGACTGCTGGCCAGGTCCCCAGTAGGGCACATGTAAGAGGCAACCACACATTTATGTTTCTCTCCCTCTCTTTCCCTTCTCTAAAAAAAAAAAAAATTCAAAGCAAAAAACTAAGTATACTTAACAACCACCACCTCTCTCTCTCCCATAAACCCCAAACAACCTCTAATCCAAAAATGTTCTTTCACAGGAAAATATTTAAGAGAAAATGAGAGCCAGAGTAAAAAGATATGGTGTGGTACTATACTCAGAAGCTGCCACCCTAGTGACTTACCCTTTGATTTAAGTTCTGATAACAGACTTCCAGGACCTTCATGTCCAATGAGATGACCGAGATAATGACCAGGGTTTGATTTGTAGTATTTCTGAAGGTCAGGTATGGGAAATGTCACATAAAGATTCCTAATATCTTTAATAGGTACTATTTTATAAATTTTCTGGAGGGGGAAAAACAAACAAATCACAAAAGATTAGCTGTATATAACTCCCACTGAATAAAATATTTATAAACTATGAAGAATACTTATTTTCATGGAAGAATTGCAAATTCAAGAGAGACTCTATTGCCGAAGAAAATCACATTGACCTCTTTTTTGGCGAGATGTCATTAGAGTTGGTATAAAGCTCATGTTTTGTCCCCCAGACCATGTAGCTAAATCCTTCCAGATGCTTCCTTCTAGCACTGGATTCTAGCTTTTACAATCCACCAAGGTTACAGCTATCAAAACTACCTTTAGCCCTGGCTGGTGTAGCTCAGTGGATTGAGCGCAGGCCTGTGAACCACATGATTGTGGTTCAATTCCCAGTCAGGGCACATGCCTGGGTTGCAGGCCAGGTCCCAGCAGGGGACGCACGAGGCAACCATACATTGATATTTCTCTCCTTCTCTCCTTCCCCTCTAAAAATAAATAAGTAAAATCTTGAAAAAAAAAAAAGATGAAAAAAAAAACCCCCAAAAAACTACCTTTAGCGCGCAAAGATCAGATTATATTGATATCTTTTTGGTGATCCATATCCCTAATAATATGAAACTGATTTGCTTTTCCAGATAAATATTAAAAACTATATAAGTAATAAAACCTCCAAAAATTTCCATGTACTCTTTGGTAAACTGGGTATATTGGAGAGGGACCCCAAAAAACTCAGAATTATCTTCTGGAGGAGGGCCCCTTGTGGTACAGGCTTCCCTCTGCTGGGACGCTTTTAGGAACTGATCTGTATCAGTGTATCAGTGGTACTGTGTGAGAGGTTGTGTTCAGCTTCACTGAATTTTTCTGAAGGCTCTTTCAGCATATTTGCCCATTTCATGGTGGGTGACTTACAAGTGCACCTGCCCACACTGCGCTGAGTATTCAGCAGTTTTTGACCAAAAACAGCATGACCCCTGAGCCCCACCATCCCTATTCACCCAATCTCACCCTGACAGACTTAGTTTTTGTTTCCCTGGATGAAAAAAGTCCTCAAAGGGAAACAAAGAATGGCAGAGGCAATGGCAGAGGCATCAAAACTGAGGAGTTCGAAAACTGTTTTCAGCAGTGGGAAAAAATGTCTCAACAAGTGTACTGCATCAAATGGAAAGTACTCTGAAGGTAACTGAAGTTTATACATGTAAGATAAATACATAATTTTTATAAATTCAATTTTGGGGGTCCCCACTCATATAAGTCCATAAATTTAAAAAACATAACAAACCCAGAAACACATGCACTTACTTTAAGATGTTCTTCTTGGAAAGGGTGTTCGGGGAATTCTGGCAATGGGACATTTTTGTTCTCTACTTCAGAAAATAACTTTACCACCAGATTAGTCAACTCATCTAAAGATTCTACAAGAAAAGAGATAAGGAAAACAGAATGTAATCTAATCGTAACAGATGACAAGTAGTGTTTAAGACCTTAGGATCATATATATATACATATATAAAAATCACATCATACACCTTAAACTTACACATGTTGTATGTCAGTTACATCTCAGTAAACCTGGGGTGGGGGTGAGGAAACTTAGGATCTCCTAAAAACCTCAGGACTATTAAAATGAAAACGTAGAATTAAAAAAAACCTGCTTCAGATAAAACTGAAGCACTCAGTTAAGTCCTACCAGTGCCTATGTAACTTCTAAAGCTGTTAAATAATATTCCTAACAATTATACCTCACATGTCTGGAAACTATTTTATCTACGATTCCTATACTAAACCATCAGCTGACAGATGGGATATTCACTTTATAAACTGACATAGCCTACAGCCATCGTTAAAAGTCAAATGTTAAGAGTTTGCAAGTGATTGATTTTATGGGGAAATATTACAAAACATGAAAAGGATGCTGGGTGGCTGGGGATCAGGGAATCTGGATCCTAACCCCAGTTCTACCCAGCAACCATGTCAACTGACTATTTGGACAACTGGTTAACCACTCCTGGTTCTGCAGGAAAAGAAAATTGGGTGGGACGATCACAAGTCTCTTCCAAGTTCTAACATTAAATTACTCTTTACTGTAATATGCTAAACTCACTCAAAGACTTTTAATCATTGATAAAATTATGTGGTCACTTAAATCAAGTCTTCCTATCCTATTACTTACCTGTATTTTTTTATAGAGTTGTACTTGCAAAAGCTTATAAAGTTATAACATGTTCACTGCAGCACTGCTTACGAAAACAAAAACAGAAACTGACCTAAACCTCTACCAATGTGTGGATGCTATGAAATATCTGCACATTAGAATTTTATGCAGCCATTAACGAGGAAGACATCTGCATATGCTAATATAAAAATATCTCAAAGATCTATTAAGTGAACATTCAGGCTATAATACAGTGCCATGTGATATAACCTCATTTAATTTTTTTTCATCCTCACCTAATGACATTTTTTCATTGCTTTTAGAGAGAGGAAGGGAGAGAAACATTGATGTAAGAGAGAAGTACCGACTGGTTGCCTCCTGTATGCACCTGGACAGGGGATCTAACCCATAAACCAGGCATGTGCCCTGGCCAGCGATCGATATGCACCCTTTTGGTTATGGGACAATGCTCCAACCTACTGAGCCACACTGGCCAGGGTTCATTTAATTTCTTAACAAATATACATATATGTAACTATATTAACAAAATTCTACTTTAGAAGTATCAAAATGCCATAAGTGACTATCTTTTTTCTTTCTTTATTTTCTTAAAGAAGGTGACTGATTATCTTTGAGGGGAAGGTACAGAAGTCATAGGAGGGGAAGAGGAAGAACGACTTGATTTCCATCTTAAACCTTTCAGTGTCAGATGAAGATTTTCCCATGTACGGACATTACTATTAGTCTAAAAAGGAAACAGTGAAAAAAGGTTTTTTCATAAAAAAGATAACCATTCTCCTCGATTCTATCTCCTTAAAAATAGGTTACTTATAAATGGTATAAACATTCATCACTTGTTACGGTCAAGAAGCATTTGGATCAAATAAGAAATTTCCCTTGATACTCTATGACCCATTTTGAACTTTTTCATGAACTTTTTAGAGAGCACTTAATCACTATTTGAGAACTGCCTTTATATGTATGAAATTCTCTTCTAGCCTATAAACATGAACATTTGAAGTTTATTTATAAAACATACATTATTTTTACTTTGATTTTTGGACATATATGAAGGACTCCAAAATGTTCAGAGCCAAATGAAACGCAGACTGTGGCTACGTGTTACATGACAAGTGAATTTGGGAAATGGCCAGTTACATTTGGAGTGAGCGATGTCAGTGACATCTCTGATGTAGACACAGATGGGTCATGTGACATGAAACAAGGTGTGCAGCCAACAAAGGATTTTTGACCTAAAGTGCTGATGATGGCAAAGCCTTTTATACCAAGGTTCTAACAGGGGTGCCTTTTGAGTATTTCTAGCCTAAAAGCATAAATTCACAATACAGTTTTTTAAAGGGAGAGCAGCTGTACAATGCTATATAGTCTGTCTTCACCACTAAGCTGTGGGCTATCAGCAATCAGAGAACTGGGTCTCATCTACTTTTACATCATGAGGACTTGGCGTCCCAGTGTCTCTACTTGAAAGGTACCTAATGCCGAGTGTCCATGTAATTACTGTGGACACAACTAGAGGGATGGCCCCTGAGGAGAACAAAGAACCTTCCACATGGTAACTCTTCCTCTCCCCTCCTCCTGGAAAGGGGAACAGATTATCCATAAATCCTCCAAGAGATCCTGCTTCCTCTTAACACCTCTGTACTGTTAGCATGCCTCTCCCAGGCCCCTTAGCACTGAGGCCAGTCACACTAGGAGAGTGATGTCTATACGACAAGGGACCGGAAACATTTCATTTCTTTTAGACACTACTCTGTCACTGACACTAAAACAAGAACACTGAGGGCAGCGCTCATGTCTGATTCATCTGCTACATTAACCTATCCAACAAGTGCTCGTTGAAATCACATTTTTTTCTCAATATGATATAGACAAAAATGCAGCTTACACATCTATCCCCGGGACCAGGCTCTAAATTCCAATAATATTTAACACTCTAGAGCTACCTCCACTTAGAAAACACATAGGATTATACTTTTTTTTATTAGCAGTCTCTTCTTGGACCCATTTTATATCTTGACTGCTATTATCAAATTAAAAAATATATACCTATACAGTTTATTTTCTAACTATAAAAGTAACATTTGCTAATAACAGAAAACATAGAAAGACAAAATAAAAAAGAAAACAAAAGCCATCCCTAATCACATGATTACGGGCTGCTACGAGAAGCCACCATTCATGGAGCATTTGCTGTGTGTCCAGCAGTACACTGAATACTTTTTCTACATTATCTCAATTAAACCTCGCAACAGGCATGAGGTCCCACCCCCACTTTACAAATGCAACAACTGAAGTTCAGAGAACTGGAGTAACTTTGCTAGCTCACAGCCACACGACTGAATGAGGACTGCATTTGGAACTCAAACCCGAGCTGTCGGACATCCTCTCTAGAGGATGAGTGCTTAACTACTATCCCACATTATTAAATTTCTGGTATACGTCTTTCTACTTTGTCTTGTGTCTCCCACTTATGTCTATTAGAACTTTTTACATACATAAGTGGGATCACATAGCACACAGTGTTTTTATAGAGTGCTCTGTTTTCTACTTTGTCCCCAAGCACCACCCAAGGCATTGGGGACAAAGCAATGAACAGAACAGTTTCTAGTCTCAAGTAACTAAGATTCTGGTAGAGGAGACAACAATAAACAAATATGTAATATTTCAGGTGGTAATAAATGTTATAAATAAAGCAGGAAGGAGGAAAGTGAGAGAAGAAATACTATCTTCTATAAAATGCTCTATTATTTTGCTATAACATCACTATTTTAGCCAATCTTCTATTTTAAACATTTAGAATGTTTCTCTCTTTTCTCTAATAAGTATTATTAGAGAAAGTATAATAAGTATAATAAGTATTATATTGACCCCCCCCCCACACACACACACACAAAATCCTTGTAGGTCACCTGTTAGGACAACTCTGATTACTTCCTTGGACTGCTCTTGTAAAGGTAGAAACGTACATTTTTCCCTCCCCACGTCCTCCCATTCCCAATGCGGACCAGGCAAGGGGCCGGGGCTGAGGCGTGTGTGGGGTCTGCTCTGCCTCCTCCGTCTGTGCAGTCAGTGTAGGAACGCAGCCTGTGGTAATAAGCACTGGGAGGCTCACGTGTTCTTTTTAAAGGTAATACATCTTGTTAAACCGTCCTCCGGAAAGTGTGGGACAGCTGTATAAATTATACACACCACCACCAATACAAAAGTGTACCTCTCTTCCACAATGAGTATTAATGATAACAAAACCCAAAACAAAGTTATGATAATTTGATAGAAGGAAACAATATATTACCATTAGTGAATCTGCATTAAAAAAATCAAACCTTTGTTTTTTAAACTTCAAAGTTTTCCCTGGTTATCACCATATGTCTTTTAATATTATTTCTAGTTTTTTGAGTTGTTATTGGGTCAATTCTGTTACTCTTTTCCTTTTTATTTCCTTTCCTTGTTTTATATGCCTAGAACACCTATGATTAATTTACATTTCCTTCAGTTCTCCATTTAAAATCACATAAGCTCTTTTTCTACAAGGAGATCATTTCCAAAAGCCTCTGAGCAGATAAAAAGTAATATCTTATTATATCCTTCTTCCAAATACTTTGAAAAGGCCAATATGAAAAATTTCATTATCCAATTCAGTGAAAAAATTTTAAGGATTCTTACCTCGACCTAAAACACAAATAGCCATTAAGTTGGATGAATAATAAGTAGAATGGAATTTCAGTAGCTCTTGTCTGACATCAATGCCTTCTTGGTTTGGTCTAGTCTCTAGAGTATATTTGTTACCTAAAAGGGAGGAAAAACATTACTTAGAAATAGCAAAATATGTGGACTTAAAAAACAGAGTTCAAGCTAACACACACAACGATTAGTCAAATATGTTTGAATGCAAGCTGGATAAAAAGGACAATATAGTACAAACTTGTAACATTTTAAATGATAGAGAATTTTCCCTTGGGGAACTTAAAGTCCTTTATAAAAATTATACTTCTTAAAACCCCTGTGAGACAGTAGGCATTATGAGCACTTGTAAGACAAAATGAGATCCACATGGCCTTCATTCATACTTACTTTAATTCCCTATGTGCTCCATAACTAATTAAACAGTCACTAAGGAATCTTTTTGGAACTTGCCAAGTTACTTGTGGAAATAAATGTACTATTCTTGGCTGAAGCATTACATCTGTGATGTAAATTCTTATGAATTTGATCTAGACTAGTAAAAATAGGATTCAATGCTATTTTTATAAGTCTCAAGTGATGTACCACTATGCGATCTCTTATGAAATCGAATAACTAATCAAATTAGGATGAAATATGCAGGTCAAAGCAAATAGCCAAACTGTCTAAGTACTACTTTTCTAATAAAGATCCTGCAATGCAAAGACTGAGAGATGGAGTTTCAATGGTTGTTGTCTCTCTAAAAATGGCACCTTGACTAGCAATATCCTAAGATCCTATGTAGTATAACTTTTATTATTGTTCCTGCTTAAATGAGCTACTGTCTTTCACTTGCAGAGATGAAACTATGGCAGAACATATTCTCAATGTAATTTTCCCCTTTGGGTTACAATAATGATTGATGAACCGACATCAGGAGTCCCCCTTTCACTAACGTGGATATCCAGAGAGAGCCAGCAGATGGCAATCTCAGACCCAGTCTTTAGACCCAGAGAGCTAGCTGTGCAGTGCTGTGAGCCAAGATTCATGCCCCAGGACGCTCCAACCAACAGATCTAGTACAGAGTGTGTGCAAGTACTCATTAACCTTTTTCTAGTTACGAAGCAACCAAAGGTAATCATCTTTACTAGCAGTAGCCTGCTCATCAAGTTTCTAGGTTCTTAACTAGTCTTCTAAGTTAACTAGTCTTAACTTAGTTTCTCATTAAGATCTACTTCAATTTCAGATAGGCTCTATGTGGGGTCCCGGGACATCCCCTCAACCTTCCTAGAGGACTCAGATTTCTTAAAAGTACCCGAAGTCTCAGTTCTTCAGGGAAAAAAAATATGCTTTTTGCTGGGTAATGGCTTGAAGCTCTAATTTTACAGGGAAACTTGAGCATTGATGGTGCTTCCCTGTTCCGCTAAATGAAGGTTCTAAAAGCCTCTGTTCCAGAGGGACTAGGCTTAGAACTCTTAGCCATTTACACTGCCAAGCTCAGATTCCTACAATATTTGCACAAAGATCAGTACACTGGGACACCCAAATCTGGGGAAATTAAGTTTCATTCTGACTATAAATGTGATAATAGAGAAATCGGATTATTAGTCCAAATGTGATCTGATTTGCCTATTCTAGTCAATATTCTAGTTTTTAAAAGAAATCTCAAATCAAAGTTTATGAAGACCAAGATTATGGCATCCATCTAGAATTTAAAATTCTTTCAGGTTAACCAGCTGTAGCTCATTCTGCTTTGATTTGAATGTACCTGAATATCTTACCATTCTAATGTTCACTCTTTATCTTTTTAAAAAGGTACAGAGATTTTAAAATACACAGAGATAAAGCAAGACCATACTCTAAACACATTAAAACATGGATTACTGGCAAAATACTGGCAATTATAATAAAAGGAGCTAAAAGACCACAGCAGAATACTGTAAAGCAAAGAGAATGAACATTTATATGCAACAGTATGGACAAACCTCACAATTTTAATGTTGAATGAGAAAAGCTAGACACGAGTATACACACTGTATCATTTCATTTACACAAAATAAAAACTAATCTGGGCTAAGTGAAAGCAGACAGAGGTCCCCTGGGGGGTGGATGGGGGCCACAAAGGGATACAAAGAGGGCTGGTGAGGTGCTGGTAACATTCTGTTTCTTGATTGGGTGTTGATTCCATGCTGTACCCAGATTTTGAAAATTCAACGAGTTATATGTAAATATCAGTGGTATATTTATTTGATTCTTCAAATAGCAGCAAAAGTAAAAACAATTTATCAAAACCAACATACTCCTCTACAAATTTATTATACTTCAGTAAAAAGTGAAATGAAAAATGAGCCAAAGGTGCCACTGCCAACAGCTATTTGGCTCACTTACGGTACACAATCTAATGATACTGGATCTCTGGCAAGGCAGATAACTAGAGACAATCGCATTTGTTCTCAAAAGTAGCTTTTAGCCACAAACAGATACTATTCTACAAATCTACATGCTCATTTGTTTACTGCCTGGATGTTTTCAGTCTTCCTAATACATGATGACAAAAAGGAAATGGTGGTCCATTTAGAAACACATCCCAGAGCGGCAGTTCTGTATCCTTAGAAGCTCCTGAATTAGAAAGAGGAAAAGGTTCTCCACTACGCCTCTCTCGGGGTCAGAAAGAGCAGTTCTCAATACACTGAGAGAGACACATGGATACCAGCTACAAATGGGCCAGAGCCAGGCTTGCTATTGTGTTTACTAACCCTTTTATAATAATTCTTTTGTTTTCTAAAAACAGGAAAGCTAGCCATTGGAAGTTCTCAAGAAATAGGTGAGGAAATGAAAAAGCAGGACATGATGCACAGAATTCCATCACTGGTCGGTCCATAAATTACTGAGTAGACTCTACTGCTGTCGGTACTATGATTCCCCATTCCCCACCCAGGGAGGTGCAGAGGACTAGGCACAGGCTTTTGTGTCGGTGGAACTATCATCTAATCCAGGATAAACCCCCTTCCGGTTGTATAACCTTGCACAAGTCATTTAACTTCTCTGAGGCTCGATCTCTTATCCTGACATTGGCAGGCTTGCATGGAATTAGGAAAAAATACATGTAAAAAAGCATAAGGCAATATTTAACATTCAATAAAGAGAATAGAAAGTCTGATGATACCAAGTGCTATTCAGGGACATAGAGAAATGAGAACTCAGACACTGCCTGAGGGAATGCAAATGGAATCATCTTCTACAGGAAGCAATTAGACAGTATCTGTTAAATCTGAAGATGGACATGTTCTACTCTACAGTAATTCCACTCCTAGTACCCTAGAAACCTCTGTGTACTAAGAAATGTGTATGAGGATTGCTCACAGCAGCACTGTTCCATTAACAGGAAAATGACAAATAGTGGTACACAATTAAATTAATTATTCAAATAGCAGCAAAAATTAAAATAAAAAATTGATCAAAAGTATACTCACCAATGCAGATAACTCTTAAAAATATATCATTAAAGGAAAAAATACAAGTAGCATAGATTACTCACAATAAAATACCATTTTTACAAAGTTTAAAAAACTACACAACATATTGCTTAGAGACAAATACATGACTAGCAATATTTTTATTAAAAAAGCATGGGAACGATAATCACCAAACTTAAGATAGTGGTTATCTGCCAGGAGCAGGGAGGCAAAGGCAATCGGAAAAGTACACATCAGGTGCTCACACTGTATCTGTAATGTTCATGTTTAAGGAGTGTAGAGAATAGTCTGGCAAATGTGTTGGTACCGATCTCTTTTAGGACCAACCATAAATCTGTAAAAACGTTGAAAGTATTTAACATTGTATTTGATGTATCAGAAAATAAACACAACAAACAGCAGCTACGACAGCTATGATTTGAATTTGAAAAGCACCCCGGGCTTCTGGGTGTGTCACAGAAACCATGGCCGTCAAGTAGGGAAGAAAGCTCAGTAAAAGGTCCGGATGACTTTCCTCCACCTAGGAATGCATGTGTAGAGAACAATGTGAATATGGCCAGGATAACAAATCCCAGTTCAGTCTCTAGACACACACTGTCCTAATTTAGTGCTAATTCAGCTGGGTCATTGGTATCAAATTAAAATGCTGCTACCAACATCCTGATTCCGACCTCTCTGGCTCTGCCATCATTACAGTGAGCTCCCACAGTGGACTCAGAGTATCAGGGCTGCTGACCCACTGAGACTGCCACTCTGAGCCTGCTGGGAGAGGCACTGGATGGATGCATGGGACACTCAGGGTTTCTTGTCCTGCCTCCATCACATTCTAATTAAGCAACCTTGGAAAAGTCTCCAAATATCTCCAAGGGCTCATTTACTTTACCTGTAAAGTAGCGGTAATGTGGATGCATGCCTAATTGTTAAGAGTTAGGGCTCAATCACTGACTCATTGGTTTCCTAGTTACTGGACACAGGCAAGTTTCTTAACCTCTATAAACCCATTTCCTTATTTATAAATAAGAATAACAGAACCAACGTCAAAGGACTGCTGTGAGGACTAAATGAATAATCAATGTTAAGGCTCAGTATAGCACCTGAACTTCAACTGTGACTCTTAAGAAAAGTGATAATGGATAAGAATGGGGTTTTATAAATTGTAAAGCTCAGTAAATGCTACTTTATACTTTCAATGGTAACAATTTAATTTCTATTTTTTAAAAAGTTTATAAACTCAGGTATTAAAATATATACTGATTTTCATGGAAATAGAATTTATCTTCTTGAAGTCAGCCATCTATTTCTTACATTCTGTGGGAAAGACTAAGTTTGAAGTTTTAAAAATCTGTTTGAGAAATTATAGCTATCTCAACTGTATGTCTTATAAAGTTCTCAGGAAATGGTCAAGTTACAAGAGTTACGATAGTTATAATCACAAAAATCTCACAGGTTCTCTAAAAACCCAAGATTCTGAAGGTTTACATTAATGTATCTATGGTTACTTGAAATTATTATATATGGAATAAATATACGTATCACCTCTTCTTTATCCATTCGTCTGTCGGTGAACAACTAGGCTGCTCCCACATCTTGGCTATTGTAAATAATGCTGCAATGACCATAGGGGTGCATATATCTTTTTAAATCATTAGT